TTCACGGAGGAAGAGTTAAGAGCGACGCGCTCGTACTGCTGCGCGACGCGGACAGCGGGAGAGCAGTCGAAACGTGGTAGATCGAGCAAATGGAATGTTTCGTCGAGCGGCTCGTTTGAATGCGAAATCACCTCGTACGCGTTACGTCCGTCGCGAGTGGGAGGGAGGACGATAAGTTGCTTCTTGGAGGTCGCCTTTTTTCCTTTTTTATTCGTGATTTCTTTGCGGTTACAATTCATATTTGGAATTTGGGGGCGAGGGAGTGTTCATCTCGAACGCTCGCCAAATGTGTTTTTAATTCGTTCCACTCGTCAAGTCATTTTAGACCAGATGCTTTCGTCCAAAATCTTGTTGCAAAGTAACATGCAAGCAAGTTATTCCCAATGGCGACAGTCGCTATTTATTTATTTACTTATCGACGAACATCAAGCTCGGAGAGGAAAAATAATCGGATCGAAGAAACGATCCAACGAGGGAGATAAGGCGGATAGAAGAGAGTTGGAAAGGAGCGTTAGTTGGTTTAAATATCGATCGGCTTTTACTAAGGCGCTAGTCGCTGAGCTGACCGCCCGACGGTCAATGAGATACGGTCCTTCCGGCAACCTCCCCTCTCCCTTACACTCATACTACGGCCGGGCCTCCTTCGCTCCGGAAGTCGCGCCGACCTCGCTCACCGCCGTGATTCATATGCCACCAAAGTCGCCTCTCTCTCTCTCTCCCTCTCACTGTGTGCGCGATGAAAATTATTGACGATTGCCCACAGCTGCGCCCCACCCCTCCGTCGCTACGCATTGAGTCTCAGGATTGATTGAACGTCAAATTATTCGTCTTTTCGCTGGTTGGTGACGAACGCTCGATGGCACGAGCAGCCAAGAAGGAACAGCTTGAAAAACTTGCACGTAACGGGGGGTGGGGATGCAAGACACACGAAGAACAATATTGCGGCTCGCGTGCGTGACACACGCTGCAACGCACGCCGCAATTTACAATGGAGGCGAAACAGAAGAAAATGAAACGGAGCAGAGCGGCGAGCTATCCGCGCGCACGTACACCGCCGTGGCAGTTTTGCGGCGCGGCGCAATTTCCATACGTAATCGGCCCCCGCGAAGTAGATAAAACACGAAATTATGCGTATGCCGCCGCCAAATCGCCAATTCCGACGTGATATTATGCTAAGGAAGCACGCCAGCGAACACGACACGTCCGTCGCGTGAGCGACGGGAGAGACGCGCGCTCGCCGGCGCGAGGAGCAGCGAGCGCTGGTCATCGTTATTACCGACTTCGCCGTTCCGCATAATTTCCGCGGCTGCGTTGCAGTGGTCGCGATCGCGGCCGGGCGGCGTTGCGAATGCTTTATTAGCTGCCGGCCGATCTACTTGTACCAATGCTGACGCGTCGGATGATCGATCGATCGCTTTTCGAAGGAGAACACTAATATTCTCGCTTCGAGATGTGGATTTCGAAGCTTGTGACAATTCTCACTTTGCTAATTAAATTCTCGGTGTATTATGGCTTCACGCTCAAACTAAATACTACTCCATTACACTTTAGTCGTGGTGTGCATTACTCGAATACAGTTGAGTTATACAAATTAAACAATTTGTTTTTCGAGCATTTCTACGATATATTTAAGGACCGATGTTTGTTCGCTCGATTAAAATGAACTATTAAGAAATTGACGGTAGACGTTGATAGAGAAACAAAGTGCGCCAACGAGCACCCAACCGCATCAGTACATAGCTCAGCATGGAGTGACACGAGGTTAGAGACCCGCGTTCGGGGGGTGTGCACGCCTCTCTCTCTCGCTCCTTCCCCAGTCGTTGTGGCGCGCAGCTCGACGCGCAAACTCGACGCTAGTCCAGCCAATAGCCGAGTCGTAGCCACCCCACCTAAGTCTCCCGCGACCACGTGCTGCTGCGTATAAACACGAGGGTCGGGGACGTTGCGTCTATTCCCTCTACCATGCTATTGCCTTTCATCCAGAATTTTCCACGAGCACGTGTTACTTGCGATTCATTATTCCTTTCCTTTTTCTTCTTTTGCGAGTGCATGGCACGATGATTTGTGGTAGAGGGTGTGTCTGATGAGGATTCGTGCTATTTTCCGTTGTTGTCCACGCGGATGTATGCGCGCTTGGTCGTATTTGTAGTTTTTTCCAGCCAAGTAATGCAGACGAATTATCTTTGCTGAGTTTAAAGAGTCGTATGAAAACGTTAGTAGAAGGAATGCGCATACGAAATTAATAATTTAACCAGTTACCAGCGACTTTCATTACGTGAATTCGTTCTTTTTTTTTTATTTTATGCGTTCGCTGTTATTTTTCACGTAATAACAGCTATAAGCTAGAAAAACATCGCAGTTTCCGCTTGCAGTTCACCCCTACTCGTTATTCAAAATTATTCACTTTCTTCATCAGGCCAATAGAATAAATCTAGACTTCGATAACTACTGCGTTCAAAACTTCATCGTAAATAATAGTATAACTGGGCTACTGGTCATAAACAACAAATAGAAAGATTCAGAGCGATTAATGTGAACAGTCGCCGTAAATCTTGAGGAAGCGTTTTAACTCGAATCGCACTTGTTTATTATTTCTCGAATGGCTTTCTAATGCTTTACGGTTATCACTTTTGGCGAACAAATGACTTTACTTTGTAGAAGTGCTGTTGCATAACTTTGTATTGTTGCGTATTTTTGTAGAATTTATGTTAGTGGGTTAAAATTGGAAAAAATGAAGATCTGTTACCTTAATGATCAAATTTCATAATCTACGAAAGAGCATTTTTTTATCTGGTTGCGAATGTTAAAAGCAAAATATATATAATTAGAATGTTTTCATTCAAGGCTCGTTGCAATTATGCGACAATTTTTATCGATTACAATGGAGCGCTTAGCATGTAAAAGACCGATTTCATCACATCGTAAATACCATAAATGCACTATCTAAAATTAAAAGCGAATCGTGATTAAGCTATGTACGTTGAATTAATTGCATCAAAAATAGAGCCGATATTAACCTTGCAAAATAATCATCCGAGATCCCACGACGTTTTGTATACAAACGAAAATAGAACATTATGGAAGCTTTGCATATTCATGAGTCTTCTAGCAGAAAATTTTCTTGTTTGCATTATTTTTGAAGGAAAAAAAATAAAAAAAATTAGCATTTTGCAGCAGCGTGCGCTCGTAACGTTACGTTTTTCGGTCATGTGTTTAGCTTCTGTTTGCGATGGTAAGCGAACTAAAAATAACAATCTACGTTCTCTCTTTACCGGTAAAGCACCGTACGCATAAAGAGTGCAGGAAAGCATACTCGTAAGGGTCCACTTTCACACATATGCTTTCGCATACGTCTAGATAAAGCCGAGCAGCACCGAGGCGAGCGAGCGATCGGCGTGATGAACGACGATTCGTCAAGCGCACGGAGCGCGATGTAGGAGTCGAACACCGCGAGCCGAAGAGAATAAAAGGGAATCGTTCGTAGCCGAGATTCAATCTAGAGGAGCTCGGCGGAGGGGAGCGCGCGCGTATCGTTATGGCGCGCTAGCGCAAACACACGTGTGCATACGCAGACGCAAGCTAGAGAGTGGACGTTGCGTGCGCCGCCACTGGACACGACTCGTGTGATCTGGGCCAGATACACGCAAGCCGCTCGCTCGACTCCTTCTCTCGCTCCCTTTCGCGCCGTGTAGACGCCGTTATTGTACACCCCTTTCCTGAACAGCGTCCCGCTTTCTTTCTTACTGACTCACTTTCGTCGGCCGATTCCCGCGCACTTTTCTTTTCTCTGTTTATGACGCTCGACCCTCGCTGTTCAATTTTTAAGCTGCCTTGACTTCTGTCGAATGGCTTCTGTCAATATCTACACGCATATTTGTATCGAAACATATTATTTCTTGAAATTATTTTTCATCACATTCTGTTGCTTTCGTTTCATCTGCCATGAAGAAACATTGACCTTGGGGACAATTATTTTTCATCACTTGGCACTGAAGGTTAAGAACAATTTTAAATGTTTGTAATTAGATTATTTTGATGCATTGATCGATTATACCAATGTTTGAAAGCGTTCAAATTTTAATTAATCTTAAAGGTATTTCAATGTGATAGTAGACAAAAAACTCGACAACACTTGATAGTTGTGTACCGGAACCTTGTAATATTTACAACCAATAATATATACCATGAAACTAAGCTATTCAATTGTAGAAATGAGGGTTAATAAGGGACCGACTAAGAGGCGTCATTATCGTTAACCCGATCAAATGAAAATTGTAATGGCATTCGTAGGACGAAAAAAGAATCCCAGAATCTCGCTTGACCCGAAAAGACAAGGAACAACAGGCGTGAATCAAAGAGAGCACGGGGGCACTTATAAATATTTATTATTAACGACAGAGAAATTTTACTAATGGGGAGGTATTCGCGTGGTGGCGACGATTATTAAAACGATCGTCGCTCGATAAGTATGGCCTACTTTTACTTGACTCTCGCAGGCGATTATTTCGAGCTTAGTATATCACACGGGGGTTCTTACACTCTCTTTCTCCGTATGTGAATTGAGAGTCGGCCGATCTTTCCACCTGCCGTTCTGCCGTGACCCTGATTTTTTTTCTCACTTTTGCTTTAATTTATTCCGATTGCCAACTTTGATGCTCTGCTCGGTTTCTGCCGCTCGCCACGCTTTCAGCGTTCGTTATTGCCGCCGCAAAGAAAAAGTACGTTTGGCCTTCACACCAAAGGGTCTTGATTCGAAATTACCATGTGTGTATATTTAATGAAAAAAAGAAAGGCTTATGCTGCAACTGCAGAAATGAAACAAAGAGAGAAAAAAAGAAAGCGGCTCGCTGCGGCACGCATCTCACGCGAGAAGTAGCGTACGAGCACTCGACCTTGATGCGTCAACCGGTCGTGGGGCGCACGACAGCAAGTGAGTTTAGTCGACCCAATTGATGAGCAAGCATTAGGTGCGTGCGACCCCCTTAACGAGCCCGGGTTACCTTAAAAGTTTTGTAGCTGGAGACGACGTAAGATGCACCGTCTTCGAGCTCGTCGAGGCTGATCTTACGATCGCCATCCATTGAGAAAATGTGCCTGGCGCCTCTTGGCAGATCCAGTCGTAGCGAGAGGCGGTCGAGCAACGCCTCCAGTGAGTTGATATCTCTGCCCGGCTTGAACCTGCAGGCGATCGATAGATTTAGATAGATTTAGTATTCGTGCGGGAGAGGTGAAAATTGTGTACGCGGCGTTTCATATTCTTTTGTCTTTCGATTGGATACACTTTTTGTCGGCGATCGATGGATAACAAAAGTATCGCGGCCAATTGGCGAACTCGATGTTTTAATTCACTTCGATGAAAGCTAAATCACTGAAGCGCGAAGGAAGGAGATGTTCCTGCGTATAATTGGCCGCTGAGGTAAGCTCTCGATAAAACTAGTGAAATAAAGATGATCACAGTCAAAAGGCCCGTTGAGGAGTAGGCAAAGCGATCGAGAAAGACTAGAAATCCATCGGCGACATTGTAGTAGTTGATCTTTAGCCTAACGGCAAATACTGATTGCGGTATTAAGCAAGCTTTTCTTCTGTTTCGCGGGCGAAGGCGACACGTGTTCAAAGCTTCGTCGCGTCACTCGCAAATGTCAGCGAAAGTCGTCTTGCTTTATAAAACGGAAAAAATCCATGCGCTATTTACATCGTTAAAAGAGCTGTGACTGGAGCGGGGCGCCGCATAGGCACACATACAGGTACGATCGGCATTGATTTTTTCTCATTAGCCCGAGTGGCGAGAAAGTGGCTCGCGCTGCAGGGTAAAGGTAAAGCAGAGGATGCGAGGCTCGAGAAGGTTAGGACGCGTACCTGAACTCGACGCCGGGGAAGTAGGGATCGCCATTCCTGTAGAAGGTGACCCGCCTGGCTCGCCAGTAACCAAGGTTGTTGTAGCGCGAGGGCGGCTGGATAGGCGGCTGGTGATGGTGGTGCTCGTGACGGCTCCTGGGCCTGCTGCTGCTGGCGGCGGCGACGGCCTGCTCCTGCTCCGGGGGCGGCATGCGGGGACTGGAGGGTCTGCTCTGCCTCATGCTCCAGAAGCCGCCGCCTACCAGCCCCCTACCATTGGCCTGCTGCTGCGGCTGCTGCTCCTTGCCCGCGCCGCCTCCCCCCAGCGTCGCGGCCACCTCGTCGTCCTCCTCCTCGTCGTCGTCCTCCTCCTCCTCCTCCTCCAGGCTGCCGCCGGCGCTGTGGTTGCCGCCGCCGCCGCCGCCGCCACCGCTGCCGCTCTCGTCCTCCTCCGCCGCCGCCCCTGGCGCTGCCGCGGCTGCGCCCTTAGCGCCCTCCTACCACCAGCAGCGCGCGGTGCCGTTAGCACGCCCTGGGCTGGCTGTGTGCGGGCCGCCAGGGGAGGCACGCCACCGACGATTTATAGGCCGCGGGACAGCGGACTTTGTGCGCCGCCGCCGGGCTTGCCGGCTGGACGCCCAAGTCGATTGCCGTCGCAGACTTTTGGCGATGTGTACGCGCTTCGATCCGAATCAGACGCGCGATCGCCGGTTTCATCTTTATGCGCGTTCTACTTCCTTCGCATCGCAATTCTTTAAAACAATGCATTTTTTTTGTCTTTTTTTGTAGATTAATTCGAGCGATTGTTGTTTTTCTGTGAATCCTTCATTAAGAAAGAATCTATTGATTTTGTTACCTTTACGATACTCGAAAAAACCGGATTGATCAAGATAAATGCAGTGTCTGACCGAACTCTGATCTTATCTACTAGTCCGTATGATTCAATATTTGTTCTCGGCAAAATGCATGTTTGGTCGAATGTAAAATTTATCTACAAGATTATTGTAATCTATTGGGTCCAGATGTAGAGGAATATTGAGGAAAATATGGTTTCCTAAAGAAAATCAAGTGCAGCTCCATAGCGATACGCACGATTTAAATGAAAAAAATACCATGCGATAAAAGCCTTTAAGTGATTCTGTCTAACAATGATACAAATAATTTATTATATATTTATTGCATTTTTGTAACGAATTCTGTGGACAGATAAATATTTTTCAAACAGATACCTTTAGCGAGAGTAAAGATAAATTACCATCGAGTTTAATGCAAACAACGACTTAGTTAAAAAAAATCGAAAGGAAATAGAAAATTCATCTTATTTCTTTTATAGATACGTTGTATATAAAAATATTGTCACACTTTCCAGTCGACAACGGAAAAGCGTATTGAAAGGATTTGAGCAACAATTAGAAAAAGAAAATTAACATGGTTATAAAAATTAAATTTCAAATTAGATGAATGAACTTGGAATAAAGTCTCGAGAAAATATTACTGATAGTTTGTCTTACTCTATTCTCTTCCTCAAGATTCAAGTAGAAATGTCGAAACACAGGCAAGCAATTAATAAAGAAAAAAAAAGAGCGGAAAGGGGTCTGAGCAGTGGACACCTGAGTAAAAAAGCTGCCTGGCGAAACGTAACGGTTGCAAAGCACTGACCTGAAAGTCATCGTCGTCGTCGCGACGGCGATTATTGGCAAGAACAGCGCGTCTGTGCGTCTGGGGCGAGAGGGCCATCTGTCCGTTGCTATTAATCATGGCAGCGGCTGGCTTGCTGCTGTTGTTGTTGATTTGTCTGTTGGGCGAGGCAGGCGGCAGTTGCTGCTGCTGCGGCTGCATGCTGGTCATCGACGCGCCGGCAAAGTTAGCGGCGGCGGTGGTGGTGGTGGTGGTGGTGGTGGTGGTGGTGGTGGTGGTGGCGGTGGCAATGGCCAGGGGCTTCGGCGAGTCGTCGTTGCGCGGCGCGGTGGCTGCTTCCGGCGGCGCCGTCGAACTCAGCCCGGGTGTATTGCCCTCGCTGCTACTCGTACGCGCTGCTGCTCCGTTCTGCTGCTGGGCGCGAGCCGAGAGCATGTTACTCTCCTCCTTCGCGGCCTTCTCCGACTCTCCGCCCACGTTGCTCGCCGTTTTGGTATTGTTCTTTGTCTGTCTCGGGGGCTCGTCTTTTATCCTCGTCTTCGTCGCAGCTAGCTGACGTCGAATACTCCTCGCGGTACTTCCACTTTCTTTTTGTCCTTGCCTCTACTTTCTTGCTTTCGTTTTCATCGTTCAACTCGCTGCTAACATCCTTGCAAATCTGTTCGAGATCGCCGCAGTACGTTTCTTTTTTCTCATAATAATTGATTTGGCTTGCAGTAAGATTATTATGTGAGCCGTAACTTTTCAAAAAAAATACTAAAACAGAAAGATTATTTAACATTAGTCACTTTCAACGAACAATGTTCGGTCTTCTTGATAATAATATCCACTCTATTAAGGTTTTTTACTCTTACAGACTATTCGTGAATATTCAGCATTGATTGACGTATGGTATAAACGTTGCGTAAAACAAACAACGTTGGGATAGATACTTCATTAACAACAACAACGCGTCATAGCAATTCCTTCTTCAGGTCTAAGAACAAAAAGTAATAGAGCTCTACAGTAGAGAAGTAAGTAAGCTGATTGCAGTTAAGCATTATTGTAACGTGCGTTAAGTCTATGTTACGAAAAACGTTATTGATTACCTCTTATTCTTTGGTCCGAAGAACGAGTTACATTGCAACTTTGAAACGTCACAAGTGATTATAATTTACTCTATTGAATAATAATAATAATTATATATTTCCGACACTCCGTGCGTGCGTGGGGACTTGACTTTACGCATCCTTGATGAATCAAGCATGTATGAAAACTCGTCCCACGCACGCAGTATCGAAAAATAAAGTTAGCTGAAAAGGCCGTGCAAGGCTCAAATCATACTCTCGCACTAGTATCGAAATGTACTAAATTGGATTTTGATATTCGTTTGGTGTCTGACCCTTCATTTAGTGGTACTACTTATAATCATCAAAGATATTTAATTTTTTTAAACACTAAAACTCCAAAATTTTCATAAGAAGCGCGAAAAAATTGAAATGTTGAACATCAAAAAATTCATATATTAACGATTTCTTCTTACGAAATGAACCCACAATTTTTACAGCATCATGATAAGCGGGATATTAGAGTTCTAAGCTGAAGAGCCATCAAAGCAGCATAAAAATTTGATTGATTCACAATCAAAAATCTTAGTGAAACGTGAATGTACTCAAGGAATAAGCTATGAAAATGCATGCGTATTTAGATTTCAATATATTTTTTTCTTAGTTCATCTACTGCAGCTCTTCTATATCATTGATTAAATCAGAATCTTTTTTTGAAAGTATAAAAATAAAGAAGATTTGGTGGCACACAAGTAGAAGCTTTTATACACGATTCTTAAATTTACGTAACGATCTGGCGCATTCCCTTACTCTTTAGATTAACTTTACTGATCCATTGTAGAGATATATTGAAGCTGAGAATCCTGTGGCTATTCAAAAGCGAAATCGATTAATAGATAAGTATCAGCATTCTTGCATATCGGTGCGCAAATATAGAGTACTAACATTTATGGATAAGATTATAATGAAAGAGGCGAGAACTTTTCAAATTGCTGTTCATTTGTTTTTCTTTCTTCAAACACGGTTATTAGATTGTTGTTGCGATGTGAGATTGCGGGCATATCAATTTTAGGTCACCGTCAAACGTTCTTGAAGTATTGCATGATTACGCTGGTCACGAATTTTCGAGAACGATACGATACAGTATAAGACGTTTACATGTACACAAGCCGTGCATTATATCAATCAAATATATTTAACTTTTCATTTTGTTTCACCTCATCTCTGATCGAATATTCAAGATAAAGATAATGTTTATTTCAATATAAATATACTATTTTTGTCTTTGTTGAAGGGATCTGGATACGAGAAGAGGACTACGCAAATTGTATGCTAATTACTGTTTGCAAATATTTTCTTCGAACTCGTAAGAATCTTTGGTATTGCGAGTGTTTCAAGGACTGCGCAAAATAATTGAATTATTTAAACTACATTTTCGGAAACATAGTTCGCGTTAAGCGTTTATTTGTAAAGCAAATAAGTAGATGATGAAAGGAAACAAAATAATTTTTTCCAAGTTTTTGCATATCTTTGTAACTTATTATGCATAGTTATTATTTGTTTTTGTAAATCATAACGTTTAAAAAAATAATTATAGTGCCCCGAGCGATCGCCTCATTTGCCATGGGTAATAATCTGGACGTAAAACCAACTAAACATTTTGCTAAAAATATCTGAACGTATAAGTACATATTTATTTGAAATGAAAAATTTTCTGATAATGAAATTTTGTTCTCTTAATTTGCACACACATTATTTTAGTTCTACAGCATTTATATCGACTTTAAAAGAAATACGCTGATGTATAATGCAATTCTTATTACAGCAATTCATCATGAGACATTCGCTCGTAAGTTAATTACTGATATGGATAACACGACATCGCTTCATTTTTCATTCCTATTACACTGAACTGTGAGCACTGTTTAACATACGTAGGTCTATATTTCCTGAATTTTGCATCTCCGTTTTGAGTTTCAATCTCAAATAAACGAAACACTTTTAAATCTAATCAACATTAGACTATCTTATAAATGTATTGCGATGAAAAAAAAATATTTATACCTGCCTAGTCGTCATCAGGCCAATTTTAATTGCGAATGAAAATAAAATGTTTACTTGAATGATCACCTCACAATTCCATCGCTCGGGCGAGAAAGAACGACAGTCGCGAAGCGTATGCAGCATGCAGAAGCGAACAAAGGATCGCAATTGTGCAAGAAAAAAAATGCGCGTACTCACCAGCGGCGTTAAAGCTCGCGAGGCACTCCTCCGCATGAAACTGTTCACCGCAAGCTCGCAATCGCGGGCTTCTCGCGGTCGGCAATTTGCTCCCACCTCCTTAACTCGCAAACCTCCCCTCTCGCACTTTTTCTTCCTCTCGCTCTCGCGATGGGCTCGAAACTGGCGAGAAATCCGGCCCCGAGAGAGCGGAGATGCGGGCGAGAAGGCGAAAAAGCACGACGGACGTTCAGACGAAGAAGTAGAGCTTGTGGTCGCAGATAATGTACTTGTGAACGATGTGAATGGTTTTGGCAATGAGCACGAGAACGAAGAGTATAGTGATGACCATGGCGCAGGAAGGGAAGGTTGCACAGGCGCAAGAGATCGTTCACCTCGGTCGCTCGGTCGCTCGGATCGCATGGATTATTCATTGACGCGAGCGCGACACTTGGGTCTATGGCCTGCGGCTACCTCGGCGAAGGGCTTTCTGCGACGACCGCGTCCGCGTGTGTCCTTCGACTATGCCGTCCGGACGTGGAGTGCGCGCGTCGAGGCTGCCCGCTGCTCTTTGCCGCTGTATACTACCGAGGAGCGTCGCGCGCAAGCGAGCTCTGGTTAGTTGGTGAACCGCACCCTCAGACGCGCTTAGACCGTAGCCGTTGAACTTGTTGCACGGCCAACGGTTGCGATGTATCATCGAGCTCTTGTTGCTGTTACTGTGGTTACCCACGAACGAGCCTCTATGCTCCTTACGCGCATCGAACGTAGACGCTGAGTCTTTCTCACTCCAAGCTTTCGCTGATCTGCGTGGGGAGCTCAAAGAGCTTTTTCAATTTTATGTGAATGCGGTCTGGGCTCATGATTTTTGTCCGTTTTCATTTTTTATGCAGAAGCTCTTGATCGCGCCAGATGTCTGTTACAACAAGCTTGTTTGTCCTTATTGCCGGGTCCTTGCTACACGCAAATCCAACCAAGCTCAAGCTCGAAATTAATGAAAAGAGTTTTTAAGTAAGCTATACGTGGTTGCTTTCGTTTATTTGCAATGAAAAACCAATTGTCCTCGTTAGATACCTCTCGCGATATCATTTCAACGAGTTAGTTTCTATATGCATTATTAATAGCGCCATTTCCATCTTTTGGATGATTCATTTCTCGAGATCGACGGCGTCATGACACGCAAGCTATAAAAAAGAAATATCCCCGACGAGCGTCGTATTATTATCATAAACGTGCTTTTATTTCGTATTATTGAGAAAAATGAAAAATTTCATCGGCATGTGGCCCCAAGTACACAAAGGCAATTGAAACTTTTCTTTCTCGCAATGAAAAGTCAAGAGGCTGAACATTACAAAGCACAGAAGTGCAACTTCAGACACATTGCCAAGGTGAACCAACGTCGAGATTCAAGTAAGCAATTGCTCTTCACCGTGATTGCAGGTGTTCTTAATCGAACGACCTCAAAATCTAGCAAAATCTAGCTCATTTGCCTGCACGACCAGTTTAACGTATTCCTGCTATATCTAACTGGATCTGCCTCTCGTCAACTTGCTACTTACATTCCAATATGAACGATAAATGTTGGAATTGTAGTTGAAAAACAAGCCACTACTTCAAGTCGTTCAGTTTAATTGTTACTGTGCTGGATTAGATAGCCTCGTATTCGATGCCGAAAGACTATGGAAGTGTCACGGTTAAGACCAATGTTCCTTGCCGACAAATTAACGAGCCGAGATTGCGCACATTTTTATTAAAGTAATTTTTACTGCTATTTAAGAGTCACCTAGATTATGGAAATGATGTTAAACGACGGCTCAGTGGAATATTAGGGGAAATGGTGTTTTGAAACAAGAAGGCTTACTCGAGAAAAATCAAGTCGGAAACAGCCGGCAATTGCGTTTTGTCGTGTGTGTGTGTGTGTGTGTGCGTGTGTGTGTGTCTGTGTCTATGTGTGTGTCGGCTGGAGCTCTAGATGCAAAGTATCATTATAGTTGTCGTTGAAATTCGTGACGCTGCATTTTGAGTCTCGATGTGAAATGCTGCTCAGAGACCACCACGGTAGGGTGATAAAAATCTAAATTAAATATGCACTGACTAAGGACTAATTATATATGCGAAGCATTTGGAGTGTTTACGTCAATGAAAAATGATTCTACGAAATGTGTAAAGTAACGTCGAAAGTTTACGGGTAAAAAACTAATTTACAGAATTACGTTTGTGCAATTTCTTATAGAATCTGCTCAAAAAAGAAGCACAACAATTTAAAAATAGTAGATTCATCGCTGGAGGAAATAAATATATAAGACACATTAAGGCCAGCGTGGCTGAAATAAAACGGCAAAAACAAAGCCGTAAGCGCAGGTGGCCGCCGAAATCTCAAGCGCCTAATCGCAAGCCACATTTCATTGCATCATCGTGGATCCAATCGCGAGCTCTAGGCTCGCAAGCTCGCTGAAAGCTTGCGCGCTGACGGCGGCTGCGGCTCCGCCTCGGCGACAGTCGTCGCGTGTCCGGCTCTCCCTCGCTGGAGGCTAGGGGCGAGGGCGGAGGGAAGGAGAGCTTTCAAGCCGATGGCTCGGCTTCCGCTGCGCCCAGCATAATGGCCGACGTGCTGCTGCTACTGGTTGCAACGATCGAAGTTGCCACTTGCCTTAATTGATGCGCCTTACTATTTCTTTATTTCTCTCTTTCTTTCCAAGACGACTTGCTTTTCAGGCCACTATTTTTTCCTCTTCTAATTATATGTTGAGCTTCAAAAAGGAAGCAATTATTTGTTCCTCATGATTTATCATATCAGTGATTAGAGTAATATTTAAAATATATCTATGCAAACATATTCAAGTAAATTCAAAAATTATATATAGTTTCAAGCATATTATCATTAATTAATGAAATATTCCAATTTCTTAATATCCTTAAAACTGTATTGAACGAGAAAACTATAATTTAGTTGAGGTATCGATTAATTAAATAATGAAGCCAAATTTCGTAGCTTTTTTTATTAAAAAGAGCAAAACTATCGTTATATATTATAACGAAAAAGTCAAGATTTATGAATAAAATAATTTATGTGTGTTTGTGAAGAAAATTTCGACACCAGCTTCTTTACTTGAATAAATCAATAGATTTTTTGAAGCTTTGAATTATATCATTCTAATTCTTTCTCACCTCTTTTAACTTGACATCGTTGTAAGACAAAAAATGAAGAGGAAGTAATATCAGAAGTCGAGCTGTACGCGTACTTATGAAGAAGTCGCAAGATGAACAAACGGTGCAGGATCGCTGAGGCTAATTTTTCTTGAGTTTAGCGAGTGAACGTTTAACGTTTCCACTTGTGTAAATAAGTGTGTATATGTTTAGAAGTAACGGATAACTGATTGATGAAAATAAAAGATATTTTGCGTACACAAACGTAGTCTGTACGTTGAATTACGTTTTTCACGAAAGAACTTATAACCTTAAGCTTTTTTTATGCCTTGATCCCTCTCCAATCTATTACTAATTTAATCTATGAAAATGTAAAGTTTCTACGAAAACTTCTATATAGCTTCTTGAATTTCAATTAGTAACATATCTAAACATGCCAATGACATTTCATGGAATTGACTTGCTTGATAGATTTTGATTAAATTGAAATGAAACAATTATCGATCGAAACAGGTAGCATTTACATTACTGGGTTTAATTGAATTGCTTTCAATAATTCTCTCAGCTAAACTAAAAAGACTTTGATTTCAATATTATTCATCTAGTTATTGATTTCCGGGACTCACCTTATTCAATTTATTATATTTCAATTGCAAAGTTATCCTAATCAATTTCTATTCAAGTTTTTATCAAAAAATTGTTAATTCACATAGTAAAATACAACTAACATGCTATCGCTTATAATACCCTCTAGTTAAATTGATTCAAAGGCTCCAGAAATATGCGTGAAATTTTTATCTAACATAAATGGCTTGTCCAATAGACGTACACGCTCAAACAATTGCATGCGATCAGAATACACAAAGGTAAATTTTGACGTTACTTACTTTGGATTCACAAGTTGCCATTGCCGTTAGTCTTTTCTTTCGTCAGCCATCGATACGACCACGAGTCGTACACCAATTCACAACTATGTTCGATTGAAACCATTGAGAGTAGACCCTTAATTGGAATATTCGGGAATACAATTTTTTCGAGTGATGAAATCCGCTAGTGGAAGCAAATGGAAAACGTAGCTGTGTTAGATTTTGCTCTAGAAAATACCACGATAAATATACCGAATAATTATTTATAGGAACGGCAATAATGGAATTTGAAGAGCAAGTCGCTTGGTTTCGGAGACAGCAAAAAAGACGTGATTTTCGAAAACATTCTTATTTATTTACATACATTTTTACAAAATTCTTTTATTTATACAGTAAACGAGGTACCAAGTAAATATATGTTGTATCAAGAATATTATAACTAAAGATTGTAGTCATACCATTTTCTGTCGAGTATGAAATGATAATATTTTTAATTTCAAATTACTATCGCCCATTATGACCATTTACAACGACCATGGATGTCACAATCTAGCTAAAATACCCCATTCACTATGCTTTCAACTTATGCATTGATAATCGGAGAAATACAAAACCTATGACTCTCTTAAAAAATATAACTTTCCACCGTTTTCTCGATGTCGTTTATCTCAGATTCGAAGACAGATAGTATAAGCAAGTTTTATAGAAAATAAATTTTTTAGACTATGGTTGATTGTGTCTCATTGCATTAACCATTTTATTCTCTTACTTGCTAATAAACAATTAGACAATTTATAGAGAAACGCTATTCCTGATCTATCTATTTGAAATATTACTTACAATACAAATGTTGCATGCATTTCTCTTCGTGACGCACGTCTTTCTCAAATTGAAATGAAATAGTCACAGGTAAATTTCATTAATAACAGTACTTACGATTTTCGAAAATTTTAAATTTCATAGACTTTTTGGTTATTATTTTCAAGAACACAATATTACCTAAACAAATGGAACGCAGAAAAAAGCTTGAGATTTTAAATAAGATCAACATGGAAGATTATTGGTACATTGCAATACATTAAACTTAACGTTTTGTTCATAAAAAATATATTTACAATCTTTCAAAATCTTATATTAGAGTACTAATTTAATTACTATTTTTGGATAAAAAATATAAAATGGCACATCATAATCACCCCCATTTACATAAGTATAAATATTTACAATTTAAATCATCACTTTTGCTAAATACTATATTCAGTTATTTATAAAATCACAATTTAGGAAATGGTAATGATTTTCATCAATGCGCTATATAAAATTGGTATTGCAAACAAGCAAAACTTGATTAGTATAACTTAGAAAAAAGAGCTTAATGCTTGGTAAAAAACGTAAATAATTATAATTATAATATAATATAATTATAAAACATTTTTTTTTGTTATAAATATTAAAAATGTTCTATAAGCAAAAGATTCTCAAGCTTTTTTCTAGATAAAAATTCCAATATTTATTCAATAACAAAACTTCAGTAAATTTTGACTATAATAAATATGAATCTAGTAAAGCTATTATTACGAAGTAAATCAGTACGATTAATAAAATACATCTTAAATCACCATAAATGAAAAAAATAAGACAACAGAAATCACAATTAGTAATCGACTGTCATGTAAAACTAAATGTGTGTATTACTTATCGTTCATCATAAAAAATACAACTTTCAGTTACAAATTACTTTCAAGCACTTGAATAAGAAAAGAGAGAACTTTCTATGGGAAATATTTCTAGACAAAATGTAAAATATTTAATTGATATTTAATTCATCTTTTCCAATATTGTTGCACGAAACTATATTATTTTATCTAAAAGACAATATTTTTTTAAAACTATTAATTATGAGGAAGAAATATTTTGAAAAAATAATTAACATATAAAGTTTATAGTTCTTGCTTAACGTTCGGGTCATTGTCCACATTGATTTTTTTCAGTATAAAAATTTCTTTATCCTACCCAAAGTAAAAAAGTGCATGTAAACAGATTAAGTGTCATTCTAATCAAGTCAATAAATAACTACTGAATCCCTTATAAAGGCAAAAGATCGATTAGATTTGCTCTTGGCTGAGTTAACGATTCCGGAAAGAATTCTGATAACTTGTCATACAGTTCAATTCGACGACTGTGGATTTTTCGAGCAACAGGATCATCTGAATTTATACTTAGAAAATTATTAGTACCTTCATTATTTTGCATTGATTCATCTCCAAAGTCGGTTGATTCACGGAAGAGAAGAGATGCTAACATTTGAAACTATAGTTTTGAAAAATATAAAAGCAATAAGTTAAATGATGTTGATATCTTTAAAAATAAAACTTTTATTCTTACCTCGTTTCTTTGTTCTTTATCTTCATGATCGATTATTTCTGAAACATTGGTTTGTAGGTACTGTAAAGCTGCAATACTATTACTCATGGCTAGCTCTTCAAATTTATGTTTTCTTATTATTAATTTACATTTCTTTAAAATTTGATCATGTGACGGTTTACACAGTTGTAATTGCCAAAAATCGTCAAGTCTTAGTTTTGGTAGACAAGCACGTCCTGGATTACCTCCAAACAAATAATGCACCTAAAAATAGCAACAGCATGACAGCTTATTGACTTGAATAGAGGATTATATTTTTTATTATTTTGAAAATTTTTAATTTAAAAGTAAAAATTATTACTTTTCTAATATGATCGTAAACCAACTGGTGAGCAAAACGAGGACAAGGTTCGTAATTTTCCATTTTTCTCCAGTACTTTTCTCCTGTATTTTCATTACGATAAATACATGACCATTTGTTGGTATCTATTTTGTAAATCCAGAAGGAATTCTGCACATTTTCATCTCGCTTGTCTTTGTCTTTGCTCAAACCCTGAAAAGAGGTTTTAATTAGAATAAAATTTATATTTACGTAAATATAGTGGATTCTTCATTATTATCAAATTACAGATAAAACATAGATTTCCCCAAGTTCTGGATCTATCGTTGCACGCTGAGTAAATCCAGCTGCAGGAATATGAGTGGAATTGTCGTTTCCAAAGTCACTCCAGTTGATACCGTCAAAGTCATTAATATCCACTTGATATGTAAAAAAGTCATTCAAATATTCATTGCCTCTTTGTCCTGCAAATATGTACAACTTTCTAGACCCCTAAATTTCAATGTAAATTTTTATTAGTGAAATCCTTTTTATGATAAATTAACATTCAATAAATTCATTCCGTGAACAAAATTGATTTTACAGGGTGAAATAGCATAGAGTGTCCCACTCTCGATCTGACAAGTGGTACACCTTGAATATGTGATCTGAAAATATCACATGCAAGTATTTTCCAAGTATCCGTAGGAACATGGTAAGAATAGAGGCCAGAAAAGACCAATTCATTAGAATTTGATGTATTGTCTTCATTGCTAAAAAATTGAAATAGGAAGTCAAAAATAATACTAGTAAATAAATATAACATATGGTTATTCCTTTGAATATGAAAAATTACCTTTGCGTGGGTATAAGTACACGACCTCCAAAAACGTATATTGTTCTCTTATCAACATCCATCAACATTTGATGATCAAAGATAAGTTCAGGACCACCTACAGCTGCGGTATCTTCTGATATAAGTGTCCACTCATTAGATTCAATATTATATACATAAAAATCATTCTTTAAATTTTCTGGAAGTCTGTGCTGAGTGTCAAGGTATCTCCCCAAGGTGAATATTTGACGCTTTTCTGGATCCAAACACATTTTGTGACACGAACGTGCATTGGGACCACCCTTAACATAAAATATGAAATGCATATATTACAAATATCACAATTTTATTAGTATTACTTACAATCTGTGATGTATCTTTGCAAATTAAAGACCATGTTGAAGAATTTATGTTATAAGCCCACAAATCTGCAAGATCTTCATGGCCATTCCATCCACCAAAAAGATACAAAACTTCTGCTGCAGGGTCTAAAACCATTTGATGACCTCCTCTCATACCAGGTTTTGGGTCTGGTGATAACATTTTCGTCCATAATACTTGGTATGATTGAGCATTTATGTATTCATTCAAAATTCCTTCTATATTTAAAAAAATAAATATAAAGCAAAGTACTTTTTAAAACATACATTAGTTGAAAAATAATTATACTTATTATTTAAAGTTAAACCTTACTTTCAACAGCATCTGTAATAAACTTTTCAGCCTGAACATAATCTCCTTTAACAACAAGTACATCATATAATTCTGATAATATTGGATTTTCCAACTGAACACCTGTATACTTTTGAAGTGTTTCAAATATTTCTTGTTGTTGATACTTCCGAAAGTGTTTCATACACAGCCTCACAATCTCTTTTTGTTGATACTATATGCAAAAAGATAATCACAACTATAACAAATGTCAAATCTCTTGCCAATTAATAAATTAATTCATGTTATTCACCATGTTCAGCCAATCAATGCTAGGTTTAACTATTTTAAAACTATCAGTCCCAGTAAGTTGAACATACCAAAGTGAATAATTCATACTTCTCCCCCATGATTGTAACAAAACAATTTTTATGTACCTTACAGGAAAATAATTCTCTAGATTTCCAACTGTACACTTAAGTTCAAAAGTTTCTGGCATTGAATTATATTTCAAATCACTAAAATAATCAGAATTAAGAATACTTTAAATTAATTTAACAATATGTATTACCAACAATAAAATTACCCTGTTAAAAGCTCCATCATGTGTTCTGGTTCAAGGCCTCCATGTATTTTAAATTTTCTAACAGAGCATATAGGCACTTTTTCAGATTTGCCGAATGTTATATTTCGAACAATGGAAGGTTGTAAAAGTTTGAGAATAACGAACTACAGCAAAACAGAAATTTAATAATTTTAATAATTTAATAACAAATTTTCTTTTATATAATATTACCTGAGGATGGTTGTCATTGGCAGTTAACCAACAAGATTTTTCATCTTTTGGTTTGTCAGTGATAATATTTCTAAAAAAGATTTTATATCATTAAAACAAGGTTGAAAAAAAATATTAAACAAATAAAAACCGCACGATTACAACTGATGTAACATTTTAATATTTTATGAAATATAATATAAAGTATTGTGGTAAAAAAGTAACCAATATAGGTTATAAAATTATTTCTATGGTACAGAAAGAAAAGGCAAAGTTAACACCATCGGTTTTTCCATTTGGTGAAATAAGAAGAAATGCCCATAAGTACTCACTCAGGCGTAAATGTTGAGGAATAGCTGGAACACTTAAAAATGCTATATTCTAAGACTTTTTGGAAGTCACTTTCTTCATTTGACGCCATGTTTATATCTGTTGAATACATAGACGTATAAAAGATAGATGCTAATGCTAGGTTATGAAATTGTCCGTGAGAGTGAGAGAGATAGCAACAAATAGTAGAAAGCTTTCTAGCCAACGCTTATTTATGTGGCAACAGCCAATAAGACTAGACCGTCGACCAGGAAGAGACAGAAGCTTCTTATTATGTGTTGTTATCTCTTACTCTCGCGGACGATTCCGTAAGGCCCTCGCTACATATGCGCATACGCGCGCGTACGAGGGCGTACATACAAACGCGTACAAATCGCTAAAAATTTTGATAGTGCCAACAACAGAAAATTACTACTATTCCTCGCATGCCCCAAACGAACACACTTACTCCCGGAACAAACGTATCATAACGCTGTATTATTGAAGGTTATGATACGTTTGTTCCGGGAGTAAGTGTGTTCGTTTGGGGCATGCGAGGAATAGTAGTAACTTTCTGTTGTTGGCACTATCAAAATTTTTAGCGATTTGTACGCGTTTGTACGCCCTCGTACGCGTGCATATGCGCATATGTGGCGAGGGCCTAACTTGGCTCAGTAGTCTTAGTCTATTCTTTATATGTCTATGGTTGAATGATATAATAACCTTGACTTTTGTGGGATATCCCATCATTCTATGAATAATTAATATGGATAATAATTTACAAAAATGAAAATATGCCGCTAATAAATTGTTTTAAGAAAATAAGAGGTTACCCTTTCAAATTAAGCTGGAATATTATAAGAATCGATAATTTGATTACCATCTGTGAAATTAATAGTGTCGTCTTAAAATGTGATCGAAAGAGAGAAAAAGCGAATAGAATAAAACGGAAGAAATGATATTTTAATTCTTTGACATTGTAAAGTGATAGGTAGGAAGGAAACGGAAACTAATTATCAAAATATAAAATTTGAACACTGTTCATGGATGGTTTCAACGAGAGAACAAAAGATCATAGGATGTTAAAATGAATTACTATAATACTAATATAATACTGAGACCGTAGAAAACTACTACTACTGAGTAATGTTATATTTGTATAATACAAATAATGTAATAAATAATAAAACAACAACAAAAGAACACGTGAAGCCCGTAAAATCACGCTAGTATCTATATATCTATATCTATAGTATATACATCTGAATTGTCGAATTTCAGAATTAACATCGACCAACATGTTCCACTCCTACTCATAAAACTTGTTCCATACATAAATTTGTTCGATTCTTATGAATAATTTCTCCTATTTTATTCAATAAAATAACGTACATTCTTGTTACATTCAAATGATGCCACGAGTGGAACTTGTTTATTCTTGACTGATCTCTCATCCTCATTAATGCAAAGTAAATAAAATCATTATATTTTTTATCTATTTAATAATAAAATACAAATGTTTTTCTTTCAAGGGTTTCGGCAGCGAGCTACAGTTTAAAATACTTTCATATATTCATTTAATATGTGAATAAATACAATATTTTAAAACATTGAATCATTCCTATAAAATTTCTACGTCTAATTATAAACATATAGCATATGTATGCACGATCAACAAGAGTTTTAAAATAAATTGAAAAAATAACTACTGTGACAGATTGAGGTTTCTTTCTTGCCGTTGCCTAATCGTTGAAGATAGGATTGGGTGTATGAAATAAATGCAATTAAAATTGCAATTAACTGTACACGCTTTATTAATTGAAAACAAGAGAGCGAGAGAGAGAGAGAGAGAGAGAGAGAGAGAGAGAGAGAGAGATCGTGTACGCGCGCGCGACTATACTGCCAGAGCTTGAATGCCTTTCCCGCTACAACGAATTCATCTCGGTGCGCATTTCGACTAATCGTCCCTACTTTATTGTTCTCATGGAAATGCAGATGCACTTGCATGCACGGCCCGATAAAGCTGTCGAATATTCTCAAAGCCGTATGAACCTGGTGAGCCCGAGTGAAACCAAAGACGGATTCCAGTGACTCGCGAGGTTTCACCCGTAAAACGTCTGATTTATTTTTCAAGAAAACATAATATTATTTAAAGGAAAATTTATTTTCATCAGATTTTAGTGAGACTAGAACTAAATAAATAATTATTAAGATTCTCATGCAATACAATTCCTAAATAGTAATGTGAGTATATAAGAATAAAATTAAAATAATAAAATATACAAGGATACATAACAAAATCAGAATGGAAATACATAATCATACGCAGTTTATTCAGAAATATTCTTCAAAATTGAAAAAAGTTTTGAGTTCATTTTCATTGATATATACATTTACAAAATTAATCAGTCAATGTTTCTCTGGATACTTGTTCTATTCCTCAACATTGTTTTCACATTGTAAATATTTGAAATCAATAGCTAAATCACGAAAATAACTATTATCTTGGTATATAAGTACACGTACTCTTACGTGATACTACAATATTTGCACATTAATATCTTACAAGTACTTATTTACAATTACGATAACTTTTTCTTATTAGGAATCAAAGGAGGATTTCAAAGTTTTTAATTCGATGTATATTTCTTATAGACTGCAGCTGATAAATATTTACCCAACATTCATTCCTATCAAGAATATTCCAATACGTAAACGCCGTCAAGTTGAAATATTTCGAACGAAAAAAATATTCTTCGAATCAAATACTTCAAAAGTGAAATAATTAAATCTCTGAAAATTTGTTTAACTGAGCTCAAATCCAGCACCAGCTTGAATTGCATACAACAATTTCTCTTGTAATGTTTTCTCGTCTGGAAATTCCGGAAGTTTTAACAAATTCATACATGTACTTGATGTTGGTAATCTATCAACAGTTCCAGCATGTTGAATACAAAATGGTGGATCCAATTCCTGTAAAATAAAAATGAATAAAGTTCCAGATTTTTAAAAGCAAATCCATAAAATATAAAAAAATTTACACGGCTTCTATACCTTGAATCCGAGGAGAGGAGGTCTACTACAACTAGTTACAAATTTCAATAGCTGGCTCTTTTGCTGGTCCGTAAACTGATCAACAATTTTCCAAAATGATACAATTGTTGGATGGTTAGCAGCATAGCCACCGGTATAATTGGTGTGTTGTTTCAAATCATTGACATCAACGGGTATTTGAGCGCCAGATATCAAAACCTGCAGCTCTTTGTTGTTGAACATTTGTAGCCAATCTAATGGCACAACGTTCCCCAATCCTTGCTTGAAAGCGTGACATTGTGCACGAATTTGCTTATTAAGTTTGTAATCAGCCATTAAGTGAATGTACTCTATTCGATTGTGATTCGTAACTGGTACATTGGACCCACCAGGTTTCAATTCATCGACTCGTCTCTCACCTGAATAATGTTAAATTCTAATAAAAGACATTCAATATAAAAACTTTAAAACTTTATGTTTTTTACTAAAAACTTACCTAATTCATCAGATAGAATTGTAAAATCTAAACCGAGATCCGTTACATCTCCTTTGTAACTCTTAAGGTATAAAAGATTTTTGTACATGACAGGATCGAGCGAGGCAAGATGATGAACATCGACGTCGGATTGCATGCCAACAATTTTTGACAGAAAGAATTCGGCAAATGGAAGCTCGACAAGTAAATTTTCGTATAACGCTTTACCTAATATACGACCTGTAAAAACGTCAATTATCAATTGTTATACTTCTGTTTTCTGTCTGAAACTAAACAAATATAATTCCAAAAATTACCTATAAAATAATAGTGCTTTGGAAAGTTATCTACGAGCAAATGGACAGTAGGATTTGGATAGAGCATATTATCCTTGGTGAGTCTGAAAAAGCCTCTGTTTGGATCAAAACTAGTTTTCAACAACTCCGATAAAAATTCTCTGAATAACCCGCCACCGTCCACACCAGCCTCTTCAAGACCAACGCTGTTGACGAGTTGCACGCGCATCTTAAGTCGCATCTCGGGTTCATTCTCGGGTGAGAGTTTATCAAAAGCATCTTCGTACAAGTAATTTCTACGAACGGAGATGTGAATCGACGGGCCCTGCATAAAGTGCGTCAACTCTCCTTGTTGATCGCATTTGTCGCGATTAATCAGAGATTGGAAAATAACCACTCGTTCGTTGAATGGCACGACAAAGGGGATCTCGCGAAGAAATGTCAATGTGCGCACTTCCTTTGTTGACATTGGTGGACCATCTTCAATTTCCTCCCGTGTAAATACACGAAAGCCTTGAAAAGGTACGTAATTACGTAGACGGCCACGTCGGAAACTGAAATCTTGAGGTTTGTTGATTGGTATTACAATGTTCGAGCAAATCCAGTGGCCATCCGGACAGTACTGACGCCTCAAGTCACGAGTGTGCAGCTGGCGAAGGAGGCCCACAGTTACCTTGTTTAAAAACATATATTTAATATTGAAAGTTAAGAATACTTTTCATGTCTATTAGAGGAATAAAGATAAACGCTGTACCTTAAACAAATGCGTCCACATCTGTGTATTTTGCGGAGTTGACGATACGGAATCAGACTGACCATGTACAGCATTCTTATAGTCATCTCTAACAGAAAGTCGTGTATCAGGGAAAGCAAGCTCGACAAGACCCAAGCAAACACCTTTGAGATGAGAGCTGAGCACTACTAAATCATAGGTCGTGAAAGGCATTGTTTGCTGAGCTTTGTCAGTGTTATTCGTCATGCCCATGTCCATGCCCGAAGGTTCGACAAAAAATTCAGTATCATGGAGTGTAGCAATCAGAAGACTGAATAACGAGCAGAACACAGCCAGTAGCGGGACGATTTTCGAGGTGTCATCGGCCGACAAGGCTATGCCACTTGATATGATATGGAGGTACGGTGTGGAACCGCCAAACAACGAGGTCTGACTGACAGTCAGCAAATTGCTCCAGAGCTGACGTAGAAAGGCAGGTTTGAAGGCGAGCATGTAGAGCAGCTTATACTTGTGGATGGCGTTCTTATTGGTGATGAGTAAGTTGTGGCAAAGCTGACAAAGTGGCTGCATCACCACTTGATCGTCGCTTTGATCGACTGCCAATAGAAGACCCTGCACCCGACACTCTTCATTCAGCATCTCGATACAACGCCGAATCGTTTCCGACTCGCTACTGTCCAACATCTCGGTATCCTCGTCGCTGTCGCTATCATCCTTGTCATTGCTTATCGAATGTTGAAACAGCGGTGGATTTAGTGTGTAGCCCAATGAGGCCAACACTTGCAGGTAATTTACTAAGCTGCTCTTTGATTTGCCTGGTGCTGAAAATATAATTATAAACATTTACGTTTACAAATTGTCTTGACTTAAAAGTGTACAATAAAAAGTATAAATTGTAATTTACAATATCCAGCAGGCTCCAACTGAAGTACGCAAAACAATAGGTTAATTGTCGGCTGAGCATTGTAACGATTAATGCAGTTGATCAATTTGTCATAAGGGAATTCTTTAAACTTCAAGAGAGCAGGAATGATAAAAGCTGAAATTGGATCTGTAAGTTTCTGAGATAGAATACTTTTGCAATACTCATGTAAAATCATGTAACAAAAGTCATTGGCATTGTCTATGCGATTGACAATGCATAAAGGTCTCTGGATCATTTCCAAAAACCATTTTGCCATTGGTGTTGGTGGAATTGATGATGGCTCCAAATTATGTGGAACTTTAGCATCTATCAAACATCTGACTTGCTCAAAATATTTGTTTTTAACTAAGTATGCAAATATTTCCTTTAGATGTTCATTGGAATTACTTCCAATGACTCTCTCAGCATCTTCTGGAGTTGTGAAAACTTCTAGTATTCTAAATGGTATGGCTATTGATTGTGTTGAATCACTTAATATGGTTTCAAGGCTATATTTCATGCATATTTTTAATATCCACCTGTCAATCAATGAAAGATTGTTAGTAGAAATGTTATTATATAAATTCAAAATTATACTACTATATTCTTACTTGATTCTCCATAACCAGTCTGTAGATGAAATAGACTGTAAATTTATTTCCTTTTGAAGTTTTAAAATATATTGAAGTAGCCAGATTAATCTGTTGCCATCACATTTTTGATTGTAAAAAAATAGTATTTTTTTGATAAATGGAAGAAACTGATTCAAACTCAATTGCTTTCCATTGACAAATTGTTGTAATTTATCAAATTCACACCTCTCTTGTCTTTTAACAGCTTGTCTAATGATAAAACTACGTACATGGGCTTGTATCTTAACCGTAGCATTGTGTTTGATACGCTGTTGTTCTCTTTTCACACGTTCTAAGTGAGCATGTTGTAGTAGAGCAGATTTTTCATCTCTTCGACTAGCACCAGCTAAGTTTTGTTGTGGCTTACGCCTATAGTCTCCTTCAAAACTGTACATGGTTAGTCCACTTGGCCTTAGCGGTAATACAACACTGCATTGAATTAATGATGAGTCGACAAGTTTAAGAAATATATGCTAAATGCTTATCAGATAGTTTTGATACCACTAGCATCTTTTTATAGCAAAGATTTTGAGCTGCAAACAGTGTTTTTCACTAATTTACTTATAAATTTTACCTTGAGGGTTATTAGAAACTCACAGAAAAATACTCCAAAACTAACGTTTGACAATTTAAAAATCAAAATATCAAAATCGTTAATAAATATTCTTAAGTTAGCGATCTTTTCTCAAATATAGTACTAAATTGTCCTCATTCGCTATGAGGATCTTAAAATGACTTTTGAAACCCAACTGAGCGAATGTCTTTATCACTTTTTCGACAGCTGTTCGCTACAGTACAATGGCAATACAGTGATACTATACTTCCCCTACTCCAGCCTGTATATTTGAAAGGTTCAATTACTGATACGTCGAATCGTATTTTTTATTCTTAAACTATATTTTACAGGCTGGGGTGGGGGAGGTTATTCTCAGCGTAATTTTCTTCATGACAAAAAGTTACTACTACCTTAACCTTGACTTTTCTTTAGTTTTTTCCTATAATGGTCGCCTACTTTTGTAAATACGGCAACTTAAACAAATCATTAAAAGAAAAACTACTTATTTACAAAGTTTATCGTAAGTTAGGCCACAAATTGAATTTGTTACACTAGGTAATCGTGCCTTTATTCAAGTTGTAGTATTGTCGAGTAACATAACATTTACAAGATTTTTCTTGTCATTTTCATAAAGAAATATAAATAAGAAAGACCAAATCATTCTATATCGTTGATGCTTATGTAGTATCAACCTTCTTTACCTCAGCCTGCAAAGTATGGTTTAATAAAAAAAAAAAATCGATTTAAAATCGGAATTTAATTATCGGTAATTAAACCCAGCAAATATATTAATTTTTTCAAATTCACTGCCATGCAGTTTTTATAAAAAAAATGTTGTTACTTATATTTTCATTTAATGTCAATAACAGCGAAAATACTATCTTTTTTACGAACAAATTGGATAGAAAAACTTCCCTATGTTTATTTTTAATATGATTCATATTTATATTAATAAAATTGCTTAGTATCTGGTATGATAAATACGTTTATGTTTATATTTATTGTATGACGGTGGCTCTCTATAACTAAGAATAGATATATCAATACTCAAGAGCGATTTTTTTTGTTATAAGTTGTGGAGGGTAAGGGTTCTTTTTGGAAAATATTGGGACTACTTTTGTATAGTTATAAGTGGCAGGGGCCTATAGTGCCCGGGTAGGTAATCAATTAGGATACTGGACCTACAGCTTAAGGTGAAATCCGAACCACCAGAGTCACGGTGTCAATTTTGGCACATACCCTTTTTTTGAAAAAAACCAATTTTACCCGCTGGGAATCGAACCCCGGACATCCGTATGAGCAATGGGAGACCGAGACCGTATTCTATATCCATTCGAGCTACCGGTGCTACCAATCTACCATGGCTCTTTTATGATAAATACGAGTTGAGTTGAGTTGAGTTTACCAGATGGCGGTGGGTCTCTTATATGATAAATACGGCTACTGCGCATGCGCAGATCTTTAAGTGCAAGGCGGGAAAAACGAATACTCTCAATTCTCTACCCATAAACGATTATTGCCAATTAAAAAAGATCATAAGCTCGTAAAAAAATGTTAGAACTCACGATAATAAATGAATAATTAAAATACGATACTTTTTTTAACTGTACCCTCCCATTTATTACAAAAAAAGTATTTTCACCTCATATTATGTAACATCAATAATAGCGAAGATACAGTCTATTTTGATGATATGTAAAAAAAACTGGTAGGGTATACTTGAAAATATTTGCAGTTTTGAAGGGTTCAATTACTGATATGTCGAATCATAATTTTGCGATACTCCAGAAATGTAGGTTCAAAAACGAGCTTTCCACACGTCGTATCGAAAAAGACTGTACCGCGATACATGTTCTGGAAAGAGATTCTCGTCTTGCGTATCTTTCCATTCTCGCTTCGCTCGAACGTAAATGTTATACGAGACGAGAATCTACTTTTCGATACTCCGTGCGCATAGTGCGTCTTTTCCGCACACTCGGCAGAAAACGTGCGTTGAAAATCGCACTTTCCACACGTCGTATCAAAAAATAGTACATTACGATACAAGTGCGGGAAAGTAGATTCTCATCTCGTGTACCTTTCCACCCTCGCTTCGCTCGGGTGTAAACGCTACATGGGACAAGTACTATTTTTTGTTAAATCGTACTGTTTAAGGGAGGTTTGAGATTACACACACACACATACGCACACATTATATATATATATATATATATATATATAGGTTATATTATCTAGAGGCGCAGTCATTTTTTTCCTTGCTCGCGTATTTTTCAAAAATTGCTGATTTAAGATTTCTAAACCTAAATATTGCATATTTATCAAATAGCATTTAGCTCAATGCGAAATGAAAAAATGACCATAATAAGTTTAAATTTACTATTATTAACCACAATATTTTTCAATTTCATAATTCGCTATAGGCAAACTAAAAAGAGAAATACTAATCCATTATAGTATAAAAAGCATCCGTAATAGGATAAAAATTGAATGTCATAAGTGAATTAAAAAAAAGTTGTATAAACGTTTTGTGTACGATTTCTATAGCTTTTTGTAAGTAAGAAGACATGAAGCAACACGAAGACTGGAGGCTATTCACGGCTTGGCTTTTAATGGAAGACACAAAAAGTACAAAATTATCACCGCTTGTAGTCACACGGGAGTGTGACGCAACAAACAAGTTCATATAAATTTCTCCGACAAGGTAGTGGCTCACAGTCGGCTATCGAGTGCGTTCCTGCGACAACGTCTGCAAGATGAAGTTCTTCATTGCAAGTATGTTTGACTGATAATATTGTAACGTATTTTAGCTTCGATTAAATTTATAGAACGTGTATTTTTATTTAATAACGTAAGCAATTCGTATAACATTCTTAATTTGCCATTTGCTTTTCTAACTGCAAATGCAAGTTTTTTTTTTAAAGTTATGTATCTGCTTGTGTTCTTTTAATAAAAACAATTTATATAAATGATGTTACAAAAGATTGTACAAAAGCGAATAATTGTCACGAGAACAAAACTCGTAAACTTATAGGTTTTTTTAATAATTCTTGTATAACATATAATTACTTTTTTGTAACAACATGAACAATATACATTTTTCATAATTTTCACTGACTGCCGAACATTCTTAAAGAATTTTATTCAATTACGAAAAACATCAACATTATTTCCATGTTATATTTTCAATATACGCGATGAGCATCCAAGTTTCTGTTTCTTCAAATCGTATATGTGTACAAACTATATAGCATGTATACATATATTTAATAGAAAACCACCGAGATATTTTTGATCTCGTTTCCTCTTTCTTTTACATTTGAAGGTAAACTTCCAGGCTTGTTTATTTTATTAGTGGATAAATATTAACAGGTATAACATGGTTACAAATTATTGTAAATTTAAAAGTTGCATATGATCTTTTTATTGTTCCTGATTTTCTCAACCAATTTCAACTATTTTTTAAAGTAAAGTCAAAGAGAGAATAAAAAAATGTCAAGACGTAGTATGATTCAAAATAAGAAATGATTGTTAATAAATTAAATAACAATGTTTATAAAAAAACTCAAAGTAATTGATAAATTGTTTAAAAAAAATTACGTGACTTATCTTAACACAGTAAAAGAAGTAGTTGATTAAATTAAATTAATTATCATTTACTTACAAACTTCTGTATTTATTATTGGGAAAATCACATAGCTAAGATCAGCATTTGAAACGAATCGAATATTTCTTAAAACTAATTTAAAATATAAAGGAATTGTCATTTAAATATATGATCATTCCATTGTGCATTTGTAAATTTCTCATAGAAATTAAATACAAGCTTACTGAGGAGAGAAGGAACATACATTATATACGAATTTTTCATAGTGTCGATGCTATTAATTAAAAATAAAACGAGTATCCAAATAAAAACAAAATTATTTTTACATGGTCATAAAATTCACGTAATATTCCAGTTATTATGATATTTTCATTAGATGAATCACGCAAGGTGTTGAGTAAACTAAGCATTAAGACGCTATTCGCAAATAATTGCAGCTTGTAATTGCGATTTACAAACACAAATGAATCTAACTACAAACTTTGTACCTGAACAATTTTTTTGCATATATATATATATATATATATATTAGACAAAAACAAATATTAGCTTAGCCATTTTTTAGCGCTGAAAGAAAAGGTTCTAATGAGCTATCAGGAACAAATATATCATTATTGGTCTTTGCAGAAATTACTTTTGGGTTATGTTAGTTTTATAACAGATTCATTGGATTCGAGAAAAGAAATTAAGTTTAAAGTATAATAGTGTTTTTTTATTTTTCACGGGATGACAATATAGAATTTTGTACTTTTTCTCGATATATTTACAGTAAAAAATATAACCAAGCATATGCTAAATTTTGATACATAAAATACTGTAAAAATAATTAACAATATTAAATTTAAGTATTACTTTCTCGTTCATTGTAATTACAATCACGTTAAGTATGAAATGCAAACCATAATTAGTACTCAGTATCGATTCAATTGAAATCCCTAGCATTAATATAGATGTGACAAATTTTATAATCAATTTTCAAAACTAAATGTTATTCATATTGTACTGAGATTTGCCTTATACTCGTATATATCCCGTGCACAAATCAGTTTCATTATTCATCATCACATGTCAAAACTTATTTGAAAGATACATTATTATACCTATCTTTTATTTAACAGATGATGTGCTTCTTGTTATCTTGGGTGTATCCATTTGCGCTTTCAACGGAGTCATTGCCGTTGACACTCAATTGTTGTTTCAAACATTCCAACTTGTTCCTGACGTTTTGACGAATGCACCTGATTCGCTGCTTTCGGTGAGCAATTTAATATTTGCGATTTAATTTTTTTCCTGAATTTCAATTTTGTCATGAGATAGATATTTTCATTTGTAATTATTGATCATTTTATTAATAAAAATGTTACTTTGCGTTTTTGATTCGCGAAATATATGTGACATTTTCGGAATTTTTAAAATAGTTATGTTTTACGATCGAAGCTTGCGTCAAAGCAAATAACTTACGTAGTAAATGCAGCGTTATTATATCTTGTTACTAAAAGTAGAAATGAATTGAATTGAATAATGTTTTAGTGACCTTACTGACGTATGAACTGAAAAAGAATTCTCTTTTGGATCTAGAAAGCTTTGGTGCAGATTTATAACGTATTGTGATTAGATAACGATATGAATTTTTTGAAATTTCCATTAACAAATAACATCCACAAAATTTCCAAGCCTGATAGCAAAGAAGTCAAATATGTGTAACGAGTAAGAAGACCATTTTTAACGGTTTTAAAATGTAGATTTATTGCAATCCGCTATTTTTTGAGAATATTGTCTTGCTAATATTTTCAAGGAGAGATATAATAAAATTATAAATTATAGGCAAAATTCAACGACGTCAACGTAAATTTCGGTAAGGAATTGACACCCACGCAAGTGAAAGATCCGCCAACTTTAAATTGGAACTCTCAAGATACTGATTTTTACACAATTTGTATGACCGGTAAGGAATTCATCTCTTCGTTTCTACATCATTTTAATTGGTATTCTTAAAAGTACATTTTACGAACAATTTCTAGTAAAAGTGAATTTATTGAAGTTCCCTTGTATTAGTCTAAATATTCATCAATTTTAAGTAAGTATTCACTTATCCGTCTATGCTGCAACTATAACTTTATCATGAAAAACTCCAATAAAACTGATTTTTCTTGTTGTTCCCAATGCGAAATATCTTTTATCCGACGGAAATTGACTAACCTGTTATGAATATCGTATGTTAACAAGAAATCTTAAAAGTAACGAATTCTGAGAAAGTACTTGTTGGCGTACATTTCATTAAATCCTCTTTGACATTTCAGATCCAGACGCGCCAAGCCGTCAGAATCCGACAGTCCGCGAATTTCTGCACTGGCTGGTAGTGAACGTGCCAGGTTCAGATTTGAGCCGCGGAGAAACTCTGGCAGCGTACGTTAGCTCTGCGCCTCCTAAAGACACCAGCTTGCATCGCTACACGCTGTTGGTATTCAGACAACCTAGCAGGATTTCCTTTGAGTCAGAAAAATATATTCCCAATAATACTCGCGAAGGACGAAAAAATTTCTCCATTCAGAAGTTCGCCGACAAGTATAATTTTGGCGCACCCGTCGCCGGCAATATGTATCAAGCGCAGTACGACGACTACGTGCCTATCGTCTCTAAACAGCTCGATGGTCAATAGAAATTGACATAACGATTACTATTCTCATTTTATACTTTTTGATAATCATTTCGTTAAACTTTATTAATAAATAGTTATTTAGTACGACTTAATTATTTATTTTGTAATAACTATACAGTTTCCCTTCGAATCTAATTTGCTGTTCAATTAACAATTACTATAATTACGTATTCAAGTCCCCGAGGTCGAAAAATTCGGAAAAATGTTAGAAAATAAAGAATTTTACCGTCAGTACGTACGAATTTTAACGTAAATATAGTTGTAAGCTTGCAGGGGCTACTCATATAATTTTTTAACACATTTGAGACATACGCCGCAGAATGTCCTAATAAATGACTGGTATTTAACTAATCATCAGTTAGCTTTGATTGACTTGCTCATGTGTAAGTATGAAAACAATCCAACAAAGACAAAGAAACCAGAATATAAATGCAATTCTCACGCAAAAATAGAAAAAGACATATCGATTTGGTTCGTAAAAAAATGTTAAACCACTGATTATATGCTGATCGAAACTCAGTTCAACAATAAATCGCGAAAAGTATTACTGAAACAAAATGATAATGCTCATAACAGCCTCCGCTATGAATATCCTGTCTGACGAGAGTAAAAGTGCTGAGTGAAAAGAGAGTATCAGGATAAATTCTTTTTTCCGAAGTGGAAACGAAGAGAGCCAAGGTCTTCGGGAGCCATCCGTTGAGCAAATCGACTAAAGGATATACGCACGCAAAAGTGACACTTCAGTAGTCACGGCGCAACGGTCATCCGCGATTGCCGCGCTCTCGCGCACTTTGCATCCGCGTCTCACCTCGAATATCTTTGTTTCAACGAGAGCTGCTCTTTGGCTTTTATTTTTGTCGTTCTCTTCGGCCGCCTCGCTCTTCGTCGATCGTTCTCAGTTGTCACCTCTCGATCGGAGGAAACACCACTCCTTAGAGCCATGACAGGATTACTTCTTCTACTAGTTGCAGTTTATACTGGCGACTATCTACTGATCAACGGAGAACTTTACGAAGGTAAATATATGGATGTGTGCGATACCAGATGTGTCACCGGAAAATGAGCGCTGCATGACAAAATCCGCATGAACTCTACTGTGCATTTATTTTTGTTCACGTTAATGTCTAATCAACTGTAAGTTTGTGTTAAGTGACGTTCCATTATGTTATAATTATATTTTACGATTAAGATTTCGCTCTCGAGGATCCGAACGGACATAGCAATAAAACACTATAGCTAGCAGTATTCGTGTGCGCGGCTCGGTGGGAATGAGCGGCAGAGGCTGATTCACGCTGCTGCAGCATGCTGCAGTCAGCGTGCTTAGCTAAGTAGTACGAGCCGATTCGAGAAGTGTAAACGTGTAAAGCATATGTGCGAGAGAGAGAGAGACGGAATGCGAGGGACAAAGAATATATAATAAACCGGTGAAAACAATGGAGCTCGGATTAGTCAGTCAGGACTGAGCGCCAGAGCAACTAGGCCGCATTATAGAGTTTATCTCGCCGACTAAAATATAAATTGAGTTTGATTTGTCCGTGTTATTCGGCATCATTATTTTAGTTAATTGAAAGTTTAATTGAAAGCTTCAGTTCAGATCACGTCAGCAGAGTTCTAGTGTTAATAAAAACCCCAGGAAACACAACCGTTATACAGGAAATTTGTTCACGCTATTAGTACCGAAGAAAATATCTTAATCAACTGGACACATAATTATAATATACATACATATAACGGATCATACGATCCGCTTGAAAACAAAAAGGAGAGAGGACCAATAAATAGGAAATAATATTAATATATAAAGGATCGATTGTCAGTAACATTATTTAAAAAAATAAGTGAGTACCATATAGTTTATAAATTATAGACAACGCGAGGCGAAGGACACGCGCCTATATTTATTTATATCTTTTTCTATTCTCGCTCTATCATTTATTCATGTACTCGAGCTTTAAACAATAAATTTTATAAGTATTATTAAACGCACTCGAGGGTATCCATATGCTTCCCCATTGTTTATTCTATATATAATTGATTACGGATAAATATATACGTCCGATCGAATATCCCACTGACGCGTGAACGGGACGGGGTGCCCGAGAGCCTGATTTCCGCCCGAGTCAAAGGCCGCTCGGCTGTTGAAAGGCCTTCGCACGGGACAAACTCGCCTCGAGCGAGTTGTCACCCATTAGTTTGATAGAAAAGCTGATTAATTATTCTAAATTGGTTCTTTCTTCAAAAATAAGACTTTTCTTTTTATAGCCTAATGATTCGTCTGTTTGCTCAACTTAAAAGAAATATAGTTTTACGTGTAATGAAATTTAATGAATCATTATGATATTCGCTCATTTTATTCAATCTGCACCTGTTGATCAGTTGAGTTCATGCAAAGAAAGAATAAACCGAAAAAAGTTTGTGATAACGTTGTGTAATGCTATAGTTATTTTTAAACTCCTAATTTGTCATCGGATAACTAATCGAATTTGTAAAACTGCTCGTCTGATCGAGGTATCATTTTCTTTTACATAGATAAATTCACTGTAATATTAACAAATAGTACTCACAAATTATTTTTTGAATAGTATTAAAGTCAAATGAATTTTATTATTACTTTACACTTTTAACATATTTACGTTTCAATCTTGATTAAAATATTTTCAATATTTTTATATGATACCATGATATTTTTCAAAAATGTCATATATTAGCTCGTAAAATAAGGAAGATTTGCTGGAAATTCACGTAGTTAAACCACAGTGGTTTAACATCTTTTCATTTTTCTTTGAATTCAAAAATCTTGATGCAGACTATTTAAGGCGTTGAACAATTTTAACGTATAAACGAGTATATTTGTTCGCATCAAATTATCAAGCATACAATTAATATATTACAGATATTGAATTACCAACGTTAAATCATATATATTCAATACACAGTATTGTGTTTCAATTTAATGAAAAAACTTAAATAACGATCAATTGTAAAAGTTATTTACGTATATGGATCAAAAAGAATTTGGTTGAAACATTTCTGACAAGTATAGCATATCACAAAAAAAGCATCTCGATTTTAATTGTCAACATTGTTCGAATTGCGTAGGTGTCGAATGCACTACATCAAGAGGTCCAGGCGTGTGCCAGTTGCTGAATCCACAATGCCAGCCAGTGTTCGATGAGTTGCGATCTGGTAAACAGCCCGAAGTGGTTTGCGGCTATCGGGGCATTACGCCTATCGTCTGCTGCCCATCTGACGACAGTCAGATTTCGAAGACTAGCACAACGAGTCGACCGATCTGGGGTTCCATCGGTCAAACGACTTCCGGTGGACCGGTTAGACCTACTTCAAGGCCGACCATCGCAGCTGGAAGTACTTGGAACTATAACAGACCAACAACGACCACTAATAGAAACTTTTGGGATTACAATAGGCCAACCACGACTGGTGGAAGCTACTGGGATAGAACGACTACCACCAGTCGATGGACTACCACCAGTCAGAGGACTACTACCACTAGGAGACTTGTTAACCCTCTCGCCAATGCTCGATCTGCCAGACGTAGTGAGTTGTATTATTTTATACGCGATATTCAATACAATGCAGGCTTATTGATTTTTTATATCCTGATGAGTTGGTTGGTTATAATTAAAAGCAGGTATAGACTATTTGGCTGATTACTAAGTTTTCACTTTTTACAAATACTTGGAAGAATTCCTGAAACAAAACCTGTATTATTATATTAACGTGGCGGTACGCTTATATTTACATTGCAAAAAAGAAATTCCAGAGAAATATTTCTTTCTAAGTACTGAAATATTTAACTTTAAAAACCGAAGCAATAGCTTTTTAAATTGATTGTCTTTTGACGATACGGTTTCAAAGGAAACTTTACGATCAGGGCTCTATTTATATTGGCGAATGTTTTAAAATGATATTTCTTAGTCTAATTAATGAATCACTTTTGATTGCGTCAAATTTCGAAATAATTAGGATTACCAAGAAACTAGTCCATTTTCTATCTGAAGGCTTTCAGCATGAATGTAATAAAGGGGGTGTAAAAACGACATGAATTTACAGTGTGTTCGGAGTACGCAAAGTCGGTGTACGCTCTGGTATATCCACCAACTTTCGGAGCACTGCAAGAACGCGTGAACGTATCCCTTTGCGCTATCAAGGACAAAACGTTGATAGTCGGTGGCAGCAATGCCGAGCCCAAAGAGTTTCCACATTCGGCGGCTATTGGTTTCAACAGAGGCTCAAATAGGCATTGGGGCTGCGGCGGCACTCTCGTCTCCGATCGGTTCGTTCTCAGCGCGGCCCACTGTACATATTCCACTCAATAGTACGAATCTCTCGTTGTCTGATTCTCTGCCATTGATCAGACGAACATAAGGCGATTGCTCGTTGCAGCGGTTACGCTCAGTGGGTACGCGTGGGCGATCTGGATTTGTATCGGACGGACGATGTTGCTAAGCCTCAGGAGCGTCGCATCGTCGAGAGGATAAGCCATCCGAAGTACAAGCCGCCGGTTCATTACAATGACATTGCCTTGTTCAGATTAGAGTCACCGATCACGTTCGATGCTTTCGTCAGACCAGCCTGCCTAGACGTCACGGGGCACCAAGCCGTTGGTCAAAGGGTTGTAGCTACTGGCTGGGGACTCACCGAACACGGCAAGCTCGAAAGTCGTCTGTACACCGTACACAGATAAGCCTAACGAGTCCTCCCCTTCCTCTATGTTACAGAGGGTGAGTCGAGCGAGGTTCTGCTGAAGGTCATATTACCCGTAGTGAGCCACGCAGATTGTAATGCCACGCACTCGGGTCACCATTCCTTGCCGGATGACATTGACGAGCAAACTCAATTTTGCGCCGGAGGAGAAATCAACAAGGACACCTGTCAGGTTTGCAATCCTTGCATTTTCACCAAATACCTGTTGATTGATTCTTATCGCTTACGCTGCCGACAGGGTGACAGTGGCGGCCCACTCGCGACCTACAGTACGCAGGAAGAGTGCATGTACGATGTCATTGGAATAACGAGCTTCGGCTCGATTTGCGGTTTGTCATCTGGAGTTTACACTAGAGTTTTTTCTTATCTGCCTTGGTTGGAAAGCATTATCTGGTCATCCAGCTCATCATCATCATAGTTCTCCCGATTAATACAATTTTCGCCTTGAGCTTGTATCAAATGCATCCAGTGTTCTAACTACTATCATTCCTTTTTTTATCGTCACTACTTCTTACCATGACATATTAATCCATACACAGGAACGTAACATTTTATGGTCTGTAATTTTTATATAAATAAATATAAGCGAATATTAATTAGCTTACGTTTTATTATTCTTTGTAACTATATAATATCAAGATAATAAAACGATAGTATACATAGAATATTAAATTTCGTCGTGTTTGTGATGACTGTAAAAGCAAGTAATGTACCAAAGTAATTATGGGATAGCAAAATTTACAATATCATCATAATTTTTTAAAATATAATATCTTTGTTCTTAAAACATAATTAATATTTGTTTTGTTTCAATTCACATACGGGAACAGATCATACATGAATGCGTCAGATTTTGTAAAGATTATTTCAAAAGGTCGAGTACAATTTTTTTCAAACATTTACTTTGATCATGAATGTCATAAAAACAATTTTCAGTATGCGCTGAGTACACAAAATCGGTACATGCTTAAGAAGCCCCTCAACGTTATAGCCCGGGCATTGGTAATACTTGAAAATTTGTTGATAGGTGCTCATCGTTTCATAGTTTAACTCTGTTTTTGGAGTAGCTTAGTTCGAATATCGAGGATGAATTTCTGAATTCCTGATCAATATTTTGTTAATAACAATGTAAGTTACAAAATAATTTTTTTTTGCGTTTTTTTTATTGAAAAACGATTATTAATCTGAAATCTGATTTTGTAAATAGATTCTATGCTTGATGCCAATTTTGAATATTCCATTGAGACCACCAGATCTACTCACTAAACGAAAGTTACCTTTCTTCAGACGATGCTTTCAATCCAAGACAGATATAGGAACAATACACCTTCGCAGAGTTGCCGAAATTCATAATTCCAATAATACCGCACGTGCGCGTCTCGTCGTTGTTGTAGATCACCACTGGATCTCCGTTGTCGCCCCGTTGAGGACAAGGGTAAATAATACGTTGAATTGATCAAAAGATTCACCCTTTCTAAGTTTAGATTGCATACCTGACAAATATGTACGTCGTAATATTGTAATGGTCATAATGCCCATTGGCTATAAACTACCATGGATAATACGACTTATAGTAGATTTTCCGATGCTACTACATCCACTGAAAATTACAAGAATACGCGTGTATCATTTATCATATAGTTTTGAAAATTGCATTTAAACTTGTACCTTTATCGAATCGTACCATTCTAATAATGGATACAATTTCATGAGAAACTTGCACCAGTCGATGATTCTCTCTCTCTCTCTCTCTCTCTCTCTCTCTCTCGTTCTAACCGCGTGATTTTCTCTAACACAGCTACATTGTTGCATCGAATTGTTGGTGATTTGAATGCGATATTCTTTGAATGATTCGACGATCCTGGGGCAGATTTAGATCACCTACGCGTATCCGCTACTAAAATTATAATAATCCACCATTTAAGCTAAATTGAATGTTTGTTGATTGATTCAAGGTGTTATTATTTTGTCTTGTCCTCGACAAGACGACAACGGAGACCCAGTAGCCGATCTACAACGACGACAAGACGCGCAAGTATGGCGTTTTTGGAGTTATGAATTTCGGACAAGTTTGCGCAGGTGTTTTGCGTGGAATGAACGCTATCTGTCTTGGATCAAACGCATAGTCCGGAGAGAGAGGTAACTTTCCTTTGAAGCTGACCAGCCTTGGATCTTACAATTTATCCGCATGCGCTCTTACGGATGAATTAGACATTATCGCATGAAATTTTGATGTTTTTTGCTCGTTCTCGGTGTAAAGAAGAATTTACTTTTTATAATAGTAAATGTCGACGGAGCTAACGTAAGTGTAGCAAATGTTTGTAGATCTATAGCCGAATGCCTAAAAATGCCACGATGTATTTGTAAGAAAATTACTATGGAGCTTTTGCGCGGCTTTCATTGCTATGTGTTGTGGCAAAATGTGTAGAATGTTTGATAAAAGTGATATCTTATCATGATATTCGATCGAAGCGCTAGATGACAATACACCTTATTAACACATTCATTGAAGGCTTGTGATCAGGCTGTGATAAGTCTGGTGGCCTTGATTAAATATTCGAGAATTGGCTGGAATTTGTAGCGAAGCAAAGAAGCAATCCGTTGAAAGGAATCAACGGTCATTTCTCGAGCGTCAGTGCCGATGGCAAAGCCGATCCTTTCTTAGTCACGGGTATAACGCGCACAGCGATTAGTCTCGCCGGAGAGAAGTCCCGCGACCAATACACATTTAGCGAGAGCGAAACCGAGGCAGCGGCCTTGTGGAAACGATAAAGCGCGCATCTCTGCAGGTTTGCTCAGTGGCGCGTCACCGATGAACGCGCCGTTTTATCCCCCGCGCGAGCAGATAGCAGACAACAAATACATACACGCGCATAATGAGTTGATCGAGGCGCATGGCAGGAGCGCGGCGCCTGCGCGAAAAAAAAGCGGCACGCGCATAATTGGTTTTAATCGGGCCACGTCTACGCCCGCTCATCACAGCCTCGCCATGAGCGCCGCTCTCAACTGCTGCTCCTCCTCGCCGCTCCTGCTGACCAGCGCGCTTCTGCTGCTGGCTCTCGCTCGACGCATCGACCATGCACACGCCCAAACGAGCCCCGGTGAGAGCTGCTTTCCACTTCTTACGCTTTGTTTTCTCTCTTTCCTCTGCGCCGTTCGGTACGTCGCGTGTTGACTTTGCACGGATGTTGTTGCGCGCGGTATAGATGGTCTCTTTCAAAGGATGACGCCGTCTGTTATTCTCGTCCGCGTCGCGCGGCTTGGCTCTGCCGACAACGAACAAATACTGTTAACGAGGAAATCTTACTTTAAAACTCGCTCTTTTTCTTCTTGGTACGCGACTATAGCCAACTATTGCTTTTGACTGCCATTACATGTTTTAACTATCGTCTATTTCCCCTAGAAATCTGTCGCTTGAGCGCGATCAAACAGTCATTCGGAAAAATGAAAAACGGTACGGAAATGCGTCGATGTTACTTCAAAAGAGAATGCTCTTGTTAACGATACGCCCCTGTGTGCAAATGTTTTCCAAAACGTGAGACCTATTATCGTGTGTTCAAGTGATAACTCTTGTGAACCAGTTGCACACCGATGCACGAAAATAGAATTTTTACTTTTTGAAAGAAATCCCAGTAGGACCTGAATATTCAATAATGCATGATCGGTCCGCTTCTAAGTGAAATTTCGGAGATTCACACCTAAGATTTTGACATTATTGTGTGGCTCGGTGTTTTGAGAAAAACCGCTTAAGCAATGTCAATATCGAATTTATCGAATGATTGTGGGAGCTCGTCATAACTTGCAGTGATTGTCGGAACAATAACATAAACGCTTGAAGTGAATTAGGAATTTTTAAATTCAAAATGTACCGTGATCATTGTAGCTGCATCGGCAGGTGCACCGTATCGAATCAAGGCTTCAGCTCTCGTTGATTGATTGACAATTGCGAATTGGTCTAGCGTGGTTTATTGACGGACAAACTGCCTGAAATAATATCTGTGACTATCAGAATGGCGAAACAATTATTTGCTATACAGATACCGTATTAGATCAACAAAAACGTTATTGATAACAAACAATTTCACTGAACAAATTTAGTATTCTTATCTATTAACTGATGTAGACGTACCACACTCATTTAATGAATAAGTTCTTGGAGATATTCCATTCATTTGGCTCACGAATACAAAGTTTATTACAACACTCACAATTAATTAAGAACTAATATTACTTTACGTGAAGACTGCAATCGACGCAAATCCCCGAAGCTAGATCGCAGTGCATTAGCAAAGTACCAATAAAACTACAACTACGCAAAAGGCGGCCGAGAAAAGTTGACGTTAGCTCATGCTAATCGATGTATTTACGCGCAAAGTATAACCATTTGAACGAGGATGTGACTTCGTATAGGTAGCTGGTGCACCCTACCCAGAGGTAATGGCGTGTGCCAGTTGCTGGACCGCTGCCAGTCGGTGTACAATGATCTGCTAGCGGGCAAACGACCTAAAGTCGTGTGTGGCTATCAAGGCACCATGCCTGTCGTCTGCTGCCCGGTCACAAATGTTAAACCGCATTATGAAAACACCGAAGGTCCAATTTGGGAGAAACCGACTACTACCACCGAAGCACCCTATATTAGGCCTGCAAGGCGAAGTGAGTCATTTTTTTTATCAATACTTTTGCGCTTGACGATTCATTCGATAGATGCGACGTTGTCACAGTTATGCGTCAACTTTGCGATGAAACTGGCATGGTTTTTGTTCGCTTTATCGTCCTATTCAATGTCGCATTTCAGTGCTCAATGTTTGTTTGGCGAAAAATATTTCAGTGCCTTCTTTTACGAACGTACAGCACCGAGATATATAATGCTTTACATTATTTGTAATATTAACTTTTATTCGACACAAAAAACAAACAGCAGAGACATTTTGTTCTCTGTAGAGCAACACAACGACTGCCGATGTCTCTACAAGCAAGGATAGCGTAGTATTTTTATATGTGCATAAATTTACTTTTCCTTTATTTCATTAGCTAACTAGTGTGGGTAAATAGATCCTTGTCTCGTATAAGCGAAGCGATCTGCTGGCAAGGCACACGAGACAAGAATCTCTTTCTCGAACACGTGAGTTACGGTATTTTTCGAGATGATGCGCGGAGAGCGCCAATTTGGACACACGTTTTTCACCGAGTGAGCGACAAAGTCGTACTTTTCGCACGGCCTGCTGAAATAGTGGGATTACAACTGTAAATCGCAAAAAATTACGAGTTCGAGCTGTAACTTGATTAATGACAGAGAATCAAAATTATACTTTACGATTTTGAGAAAATTTTCCATAATATTCCATACGTTACTGTCACGTTTTTCTTAAAACCATGTTGCGTTATTGCTGTGTCCAGAAAAATGTTTGGTTTCTAAAATATATCGATGGTAGGCGCAGTTTGTTCGCATACATCAAAGAAATGTATCGATATCACATTTGTTTATTTCTATTCATTCAGCCAAGTGTACTTTTAGAAACCAACATTTATGGAACTGTATACACATCGATTAAAGTATTTAACGTAGGAAAGTTATGTATTCCCTTGTATTATTCGCACAACAATGAATAATAAAACCACTAAATCATAAACCTATTAGGCAACATGAGTTTTAAAAAAACGTTTGTTCAATGCGTGACGTATACTTCGAAATGTTGACCTTTTGAGATAAAAACGATTATTTAATCTTCTCACACTTCTTTTCATATGAATAACATCCTGCGCTTAATAAGGCGTTATTTTATGGGTTTGTCATAATTAAAGCAATGATGATAAAGTTAAACAACTTGACAAATTTCTTACTTCGAAGCCTCATAACTGAAATTATTAAAAATAATGAGAAAAAAATACAATTTGAACCGCAATTCACAAAAATGAGCAATTATTTTGCTGTACTTTCACTATTGAATAGAATTTCACTATTAACATACTGGTAAATTCCCTTATAAAAAAGTGATGAAAGCCACGCTAAAACATTTTATTCATTGTATAATTAGCCTAAATAAAAATAAGAGCGAGAATTTAAATTGTTTTTTTATTTCAGTTCTAATTTAATTTATTTTCAGCAACAATCCTCTTATAAAAAAGTAATGGATGCCATCTTGATATTCGTGATCTGATTGGCGGAGATGTAGTTACGTGGATTATCACCTGGTTTTTGAATGTGTAAGATAAAAGTAAAGGTTATAATGTCACAATCTTGCTACAATAAATAAAATAAACGTTTAATAAATTTGACCGGTTAAAAAAACTGAAAGAATATTGCAGTTTTTTATGTGATAAATCATAAATTTGAAAACGTGTTTAATCACTAACACACATTTTTCCGTTATGACATGTGTTTTGTAAAAAATTGAAAAACCTACCTATGGAAAAAATAATTTACGTTAAATATGTTAATTAATGTAATAATAAGAAATTTAAAAAAATAAAAACGCGTAAATAGCTATCTGTTCCTATTTTTTTTTACTTTTTTATATAAAGAAATGATGGTTTGCCGAGTGAAGTCATTTTATTCGTCAGATTGACTGAATCTAGTTACGTGGATCATTGTTATGAATAAATCAGCACTGAATAATAGATTGAGGCGTTTTACATTTATGAATGTATCTATTAACATAAATAAGTATAATGATTTATAGTCATTGAAAAGACCATATGATTTCCATATTCCCTCAACGGCTTAACCCTAAAATAATGCGATAAAATAATCTTAATGCACTCGATTTATATTTATTTATAGGAGATTTAAATTTATTGAATATCTTTATTGTAAAGCTTAGCTTCGAATGAATATCATCAATAAAGAAGATAATAATAAATCGATATTTCATATGTAATTCTGTAAATTAATTTCTGTGCATTCGGCACCGTTAATTAATTTTTTTAAATTTGGAATTTAATTTATAAAGATAAACAAAATTTCTAAATGGTCACGAATGAACAGTTGAAAAAAACAGATAACAGTTAAAATAACATTTCTATCGATATATGGATATATTATATGAAAAGCTCGCAATCATAAATCAGTATCTTATATAATGTTAGAAAATAAAGAAAATTAAATTGGCAAACGCTTATGTTTTATTTATTTGAAAAAGAAAAAAAAATATTTTGGTGCGCTACCCATTATCTATATAGCTAAATACCTAAAAATCTGTTACGTTATGAGATTTAAAATTATTGCTAAATCGGCGAATATCAATGTAATTGAGATATTATCGAGAAATAATAATATTTTAAATTGGCTTTTTAATATTGGTTTGGCTCTCCAAATTAGATTATTTTGGAAATAACGAAGGTGCAATGAATTTTTATCAGGTTCAAAATGAAATTAGTAACTGTTTTTACTGTGTTTATTATTTTTGTTTGTATGTATTTTCCACGGTCTTAAACAATATTAGTGCTGTTATTGATGGCACCAAACATATCATGTCTTTCTGTTCACTTATTAATTATTCTACATGTCTTAAATAATTGATTTTCGATGAATTATCAAGTTTGATTAATAGAGTTATGATGAAAATAATTAATGCTTGCTTTCAAAAATTGATTGACTCAGTAAACAGGTAGCAAGAACTACACGATACTTGCTATGAAAATATTCGTAAATATTCGTTCTATCCTCAAATGAACTTATTATTTAACTATTAACATGATAAATTTTGGTGTCAGTGTGCTCGGAGTATGCGAAATCAGTGTATGCTATGGTGCGTCCACCAGTGCTGGCAGGTGGTGACCAGCAACTCGTCAATGTTTCTCTCTGTGCGATCACAGACAAAAAGTTGATCGTCAGTGGTACTAAGGCCGAGCCCAAAGAATTTCCTCACATGGCGGCTATTGGCTATGACACCGAATCAAGAATACGTTGGGGCTGCGGTGGTACCCTCATTTCGGAATTGTTCGTTCTTACTGCTGCCCATTGCACATCTTCTCCTCAATGGTTGGTTTTATCCTTACCAGTTTTAATTTTTTTTTAAGGAGGGGACTTGTAGTTCTTCATAAATTGCTCCAAAACTATGAATTAAACTCAGAGTTGGATAACTCTAAAAGTTCATGATTTGTAAAATAAGATGAGTATGATCATGCAATAGGGGAGATGCTTTGTGGGTGAGACTAGGCGACCTGAACACACGACAAACAAGTGACAACGCACAACCCCAAAATCGTCGAATCGTCGACAGAATACGCTACGTATACTACCATCAACCAGTTCAGTACAACGATATAGCTCTGTTGAAATTGGAACAACCGGTAATATTCAACGCCTATGTCAGACCTGCCTGTCTGGATTACAAAGGCAATCAGCGGGTTGGTGACAGAGCTGTGGCTACTGGATGGGGAATCGTCGATTGGTGTAAGTTCGTGATATTTGTAAAGCGTAATCTGATTAAGTGTGAAGAAATCATACGAAACATTTTCATACTACTCTCTTTTTTCAATGGAAGTTAGACCTTTGTTCAAAATATTCTTTTTTTCCTGTTGCATGACAGACGACGAATATGGATCCGATGACCTGTTGAAAGTTGTGTTGTCAATAAAATCCTACAACGATTGCGTAGGCTTTTACTCCGACGATACAGATAGACTACCGAATGGTATTCATTACGTATCGCAATTGTGCGCTGGAGAAATGGACAAGGATACCTGTCAGGTATGCAACCTAAACTTGAACAGAGTAAAACTTTTGTTAGATTTGATAGATTTACTTTTGATTTCAACAGGGTGACAGTGGTGGTCCACTCGCGATCTACAACACCGACGAGACGTGCATGTACGACATTATTGGAGTGACCAGTTTTGGACAGCTTTGCGGTAGTGTTTCACCCGGAGTCTACACAAGAGTTTCCTACTACCTGTGGTGGATCGAAAAATATGTCTGGCCGCATTTGTATAAAGAAGAATATAGATATAAAGATGAACATAAACCTCGAAATGTCAGTTGAGTTTTAATTCACTCTAAGAGTTTATTTTTTCGATGTTGGCGATGTATAACGAACTACTTATTTAAGTTGTCGAAGCTACATCGTTCATATTTTTTTCATCTGTAAACACGAGTATTGAATAACAGCATATTTACCTCGAAATTATTTATACAACCATACACCTCATAATAATATGCATACAAATATGCCTGTGCACCTCTAGTCCATAAATTTTATACAAGTCAAAATAAACTAGTATAAATGATTTTGAATTCTTGTTGAACGGCCGTATTTTTATTAAAAATATGTAAGTAAATCAGAATAATTCACAGAATATAAAAGAACAGTTTATTATGTGTTTCTTATAGTTTTTATCCTTTTGCCTTGATAAAACACGCATAATCGTACAAACGTTTTGAATACCAGAATATAAAATTAAATTATGGGATATTAGCCAAATAATCCTTAACATTTGAAGGGTCTAATCTTCTAAAGCCATTAGCATCGCAAATACCAATTTCAATGTTGTCAGCAGTCATTTGTCCTTCGAAACCTTCTTTCAAAGTCAAAATGGCAGTATGAACAGCATCATCGAGCTCCAAATCTTCACTGTAGCGCTTTTCAAGGAAAGTTTTGCCATTGATAAAGTTTTTACCCATAGCAGTTGCTTTCCAGGCAAAATAGGCACCTGATGGATCACATTGAAAGAGATATGGTTTTCCTTTATCCCATCCACAGATTAATAATGATACTCCAAAAGGTCTTACACCACTGGAAAGAAAATTATGTCTTTAAAATTCAATCATAATTATATTCGAAAAATATCAGTTCCTTAGCAACTTGTATAATGGAATTGACTTTTATTTTCTCTTAATGTATCAGTCATGTAATCTTTAAATGATAACGTTACCCAGACTGAGTGTATTCTTGCATCAACATAGCTACTCGCTGAACTAGTTGAGCAGTAGGAATTGATTCTTTGTAGACTAAGTAGTATTGTTGAGCCATTTTACGAGCCTGCTTTACTAACAATCTATAATCAGGACCCATTCCACTGTATACCATTCCAATGTATTTTGTGATCATTTCAACTTTGGATACACTGTGTTCATCATATAATATTGATTTGTGTTTGTTCTCTGTTGCAAGTACTACACCATTTGCTGCTTTAATTCCCACACTCGGAGCGCCAGCTGCAACTGCAGCTAAGGCATATTCAATTTGTACCAACTTTCCAGAAGGACTGAAAAACAACAAATAATTCATTAAAAATGGAGTTATTCCAATGTTGAATTTTCAAAAGAATCAAGGCAGATGTTATTTAAACATAACTTATCAAATCTTTAACCAATTGTCTATACAATATATTTTTTATGACAAAAAAAATCATGGAAATACATTGAACTACTTTAATATTTGTTTTTGATTGCAAGCTATAAATGCATAAACAATGAAAGTTTAACAATATCTACACGAAATGACTGATTAGAGAAAAATTAATACTTATAAGGGTTGTAAGAGTTAATAGAGGTTATATAAAATAATTAATTATAACAATTTGAATAAGAGTAAAAATGTTTGTCATTCTGATTTTGAGGTTATGGAAATTTTAATGTTTCAAATTTCCAATGTAAAAAAATGTATTTGTTAGAATTGATTGATTTTAATTATACAAATAACGTAAAATAAAACTATGTACCTAAAAGTTGTAAGTGAAAAACTATAGCGTTCCGAAGCCATGATCAAATATTTTTAAGTTTTTTACAGTATTGACTTGAATTAAAAAGCAAACTCCGAACTCGGACACTCCACTCTCGGCTTCGGGCTTCTGAAGTTTTTCCGGCGACCGTTCGCGGCTCTAGCGTTTCTTTACACCGCGGCGGGCCAGCGGCCAACTTATCGTCTATTTTAAATTATATATTTTGCTATTTTTTTTAGGTTTTTCTATTAACTAGCAGATTTTGATATGTTTACTTCTTTTGTTTGAAAAATATTTATATTAGAAAAAATTGCAGATTCTACAGTTTCTTGAAGCTTGAAGTTGAATCCTTGAAAGTCTTGACTGTAATATCGATGATTCAATCGATTCGAATTTTGAATTCTAGATCGTTTTATATTTAATTCGGTTTCACTATAGACGCCTGGAATTATACGATATATATATATAATATATATAAAAATGTATTAGTATAAAAACAATTTATATAACTTTTTTATTACTTATAATTATATTTATATTTACATAATAACAAATGTGCAAAGAAACAATGATAAATTAAATAATTAATGCAGTTTTCATATCATGGATGTGTAAAAATTACGTATCTTAATTTGGAAACAGTAAATTAAATTGTGCATATGTAAATTGAAATGTAAATATGTCAATAAAATTGTGAGCAAATTGCAAGCCCACATATGACTATAGGTATAGCTTAAAAGTTGCATATATTCATAGATTCTCCCAAGGGCTTAGTTTGAAGGGCTTAGTTTTTGTTTAATATTTGTGATGTATTTACATTGATAGAATGATAATTTCCAAGTAAATTATTTTTATATTAATATATATTTGTTATAAAATCTGTGTTATCTACATCTGTTCTATACATCGACCAAGCATATACCGACTACTAGCATTTGTGTCGATTCTGAATATGGTCTAAATCCAATTTTGTATAGGAGAGGCAGCAGCATTGGTAAGGGTATCTTTGGCACTGTCCATCAAACCCGATATGTATATAGCAATGATTAGTCACTCATAACGACGTGAATCAGCTTTTCGCTCTATTAAGTTTGTTCTTCATTAGAAAAAGATCATCAACTTCAAATAGAAACATCATAATGTAACGATAATATTTGTACATATTTGTGTGTCTATAAAGTGTGATAGTAGGAAATTCCCTAGACTAAATCAAATCTATAGTGCGTCTGCTACAAGTAAACTGGTCGGAGAGAAAAAAGACATTTTACTAATTATTTAGGTCAGGAGTAAATGTTATGAACGTATTTTCTTAATCTACACGTAAGTTGCGAAAAATTGCCCTTTATATCTACAATTAGTGGATGCAACGGGAAGTGAGTCATTTTAGATATAAGATTGATAGAACAAGTGGTTTTATTTATTTATATAGTAAAAACGGTAAGTTCCATGGCATGAATTTTTAAATAAGATTAGCATAATCTACGTAAGAATCGACAATTTTGGATAATTTTGATATCCTTATTGCAAATATGTCATCATCAGGGCTCACAATGCTCTCAAAAAATATTGTACAATTTATGTGATTATGATTAGCGAATATATATTACACGCGGAAATCATTAAATAATTTAAATCGAGTAATTTTCGGTTTATCATGTCAGGAAAATAATGTAGCATGAGATAAGCCGACTGGCGTATATATTTATTCTTTAGCAAGATGATAGAATATTTTTTGCATGAATTTTTTAAAAAATATTCACGAACATTTTAGCATTATTAATTTTAATAATGCACTTATGTTATCAAGCGCATTGTACGTATATCTCTTGTTTGCATACAGTAATATTTAGTTTTATGCTTAAATAAAATCAAATTATTTTAGGTAAAATAAAACCATCCAAAATATACTACATACGTAAAACAATTCTATGCTTTGAAACGCTTACGATACGTCGATATGAATTAGTAAATAAACATCCAATTACGCTGATAATCGCTGATTTAACAATAATTTCAAATATAATAACGTGACAGATTTTTAGGTGTTTAGCTATATTATATGTGTGTGTGTGTATATACTAATATAAGTTAGTTTTTCTTTTTTCTTTTTCATATCAATATAACCGGGTCAACTGTGCCTAAGAATAGAATTTTCTTTGCTTTTCAACATGTTGGTTTAAAGAATTAAAGCTTTTAGTAAGATATCTCCACATCAACAAATGTGTTATTTTAAACGTTTTTCAATTATCCATTCACGACCGTTGAGAGAGTTTGTTTGCCTTTATAATTTATTTTTAAATAACGTAACGGTACCGAATACGTCAAATCCAAATTATATTTCTTATAAAATATTGATTTATAATTCTTTTCATTAAATAAATAATCTTTATTCAACGCTAAACTTTACAATAAAGATATTGAATAAATTTATACGTCCTATTAATAAATGTAATTGGAGCCTATTAAAATTACTTTATCGTATTATTTTAAGATTAGACTGTTGAATGAATGTGACTGTTATTGTTTTCAGTGCTTACAAATTGTCTTTCTTATTTTTATTCATTTAATTGATTGAGGATAAATCGATGTAAAACGCCACGGTCTATATACTATTTAGCACCGATTAGTTATAATTCATAAAAGTGATCCATGTTACTATGTTCAGCTAATGAAATCATGAATAAAACTACTTCACACGGTATGTCATAATTTTTTTATAAATAGGAAATAGGAGGAAGGAGGAATAGAATATGAAGAAAAAAACAAAAATGAACGCATGCGCAGAGTGAACGTAAGCAACTTCCAATTTTGTCCGCGTCGTCTTGAGACGGCGCAATAGTCACAGTTCTCAGCATGTTCACTTTCCCCGCTCTCTTCTCTGTAATTTTTTGTTAGTTTACGCGCGACATGAGTCTGCGGTAGCGTTGGATAGCGCAGCTTTTATAAAGAGTGGTGTTGAATGTAGCATTAGATATATATCATCAAGCGAAGCGAGTACTCGATCGAAATTCGAAAAACAGGTAGCAAGCCACTCGATACACTTGTCAATAAGACGTGCTAAGACTGTAGATGAAAGACGTAGAAGAAGACGATCGAGGACTGGACAGTTTCTGATGTCGTGGAGCGAGTCTCAGCTCATAGCAGCCAAATGGAGCTCTTCCGCAGTGATACTCATTTCATCTTCGTCAAAGAAAACAGCAGTCTCTGGTGGGATAAGCAGACGGGCGAATTCTCCGCCAAGACAGGTAATGTTGACACTGCAATTGTGCTGTCTGCTAGCTCACTGTCAAATCTTGTTCATGGACCATCTTATATGAATCCATGAAGTCGTTTCATTTTTTGTCATCGATTGGACATTTACTTTATGGTACTCAATTTCATGTTATCAGCTGCGATGATGTCATTGACGGATTTTTTTAACTCGTTTCTCATTGCGACTCACTACATTGACACTTTTAGCACTGTTCACGGGATGCAGAGTGCTTGGATGTGCATTAACAGTCAGCATCGATCGTTGCTTTACTGCAATAATTTTCTACTATATATTTTCAGACTTTTATAGCTTTGTTCTGGATATACGTGTGACTGCCAACGGCGATTGCTTTCGTCTCGTATTTTAGCATTTTTAACGTATACTTACTCGAAATTGTTTAGAATAATAAAAATTTTTGTTAGCAACAATGCATTATAGAAATAACTACATCTAAACCGTCAAGTATTTAAAACTTAATGAAAAGCGCTTAATATAGGACATTTCGACAAAACAAGTACGCTTCTCTTTCAAAAAATATCGATTAGGCTTGAAAAATATTTACGCTGTTTATATGTAATTGCATACTGAATGATTTCTAATCGTTCTGATATAATTACAGAATTTTCAGTTTAAGCAAATGATTTTACGTGAAATTAATTTATTAATTAACTATTGTTAATTAACTGCCATTACGTTAAAAGATTGGTTGTACTTTGCTTAATTAACTAAAGAAACTTTGTAGCTACATTAACATTATAATCAAACTTTATAATTAATAACATTGTCTCGTTTTTAAGTACACATCGTAGTTATTAGCATATATGCAATTCACGTATAGCGATGCAACTTCTTTGAATTATTTTTCTTCAAATTCATAACATTGTCACTTACTTAAAATTAATATCGCTTACGAAATATTTTATTTTATAAAACAAGCATATATATTATTAGAATAAAGAAAATTGTTTTATTCCATCATAAATATTTGTTTTGAAATCTTTCATGATGGATATTATTGCAAAAATAAAAAAAAAAAAGTAAATTGATAAAATTATACATTTTTAACAGAAACGTATTAATTGATTTTTTACAATGCAATTGCCTAGACGTCTTACAAGTGCTTAGCATCTATTATATTAAGGTGACATTTAACGTTTTCAAGAAAAAAATCGGAGGGTATTGCCATGTGAAAACAAGTAGTTTATCAAGAGCCGGGTTCTGTGATTGTAGTTGTTGGAGAGCTTTTATGAATCGAATGTACATATTTTTATATGGGAGTGCTAATACAAATCATAAAAATGCAAATAGGTATTGTAACTAATAAGTAAAGTAATAGAATTTTTCGTTAATTCGCATTGGTTGTTTGCTTTCATTGTTAATGAGTGACACGCGTTTCGAACAGTCAATTAATTGTAAGATAATAGGAATCATTATCACTTTTAGGAAAGCACGCATTTACGTGGGACCACATTTTATTATCATAAAGATTTTTTATCAGTTACTCAACAATTTGATCGATAGTAATGCGAAGTAACCATACGACGATCGTTTGTTAACAGTAGAAAAATATATTTACCGAGGTAGATATATCCTAGTCGAAGGATATAAGCAACGTCGATGGCAGTAGAGCTGAGAATAGAAAAAGATTTTTACCGTGTTTCCATCGATCGACATTATTATACACGTCGGGGTCAGTCAATATAGTTCTTCATTGATGCTCACTGTGCATGCCGTAAGAGTGTTTGATATTTATTAATGGAGAGAAGCTCGTTGTGCGCTGCTTCTCTTTTCCATACAACATTGACGGCATAATAATTCATTTACGAGCGTATGTCATTGATTGAATGCAATGTAATTTACCAGGCGAAAACATGAGCCCAATCAGGATCTAATTGTCGAGGAGTTTAATATGTGCATCACATTAATTCTATGAATAATTAATTTTCTGGAAAGCCAATTGAGCCATCAAGAATTAAATATTTCATTGTCGCACCGTTCACCGATAATTGGGATGGCTCGATTTCAATTTCAGATTGGGAATGGGCGAGCGCCAATGACTTAGACTGCCTAGGCCTATTCTACGGGATCGTTGGCAAAATCGAGCAAGCTAATGTTCTGGAAACTCGATTGATGCTCATCAAGGAAATCGCGTCGGTCGGCGAATTGCAAGGAAACCACACTGTGTACAAAATCAAGTCGGTGGCCTTTTTACACCTCGGCTCAGAAAATTTCGACATAGGATTGCTGCCCTGTCCCAAGCATCAGCATGGACTCAACAAAAAGCCGACCGGTGGTGGATTGTTCGACGTTCAAAAGGCTGGTTTGGCCAAGACTTGGGGTACTATCAAGAGCGCTACGAATACTATTAAGAATACAACTCAGCAAGCGGCTGCACTTGCTACATCTCAAGTCAAGTCGACGGTTACAAAGAGGACGGGGGTCAAGGACAAGGAGAAGTTCGAGAGGAGATTGCTCGAGGAGCTGCACAAAATTTTCACTGAGACCGACTCGTTTTTCTTCTGTCGAACTCGGGATATCACGAATAGCTTGCAGAGGCTTTGCGAAATGGAATCCAGGAGAAATCAGCAAAGTCCCAATCAGCAGTTGTGGAAAACGGTCGATGATAGATTCTTTTGGAACAAGTTCATGTTGCAAGATATCATTAATTTGGACGTGAGTGTCTTCTTTACAACTCGTTCGATTTCGACTTTAGACTGCACGCACATTATATGTAACGTTCATTGCAGTCGGAAAAAGCAGATGCTTGGATATTACCTATTATACAAGGATACGTACAGATCGAGAAATGTTTAGTAGAGGTAGGGTACGATGGACAGCCTTTGAACGAAATTTTCAATCTAGCAATTATATCTAGAAGAAGTAGATTTCGTGCTGGAACTAGGTAATTGCTTATATCACAATAAAGCTTATTTTGCTACTTGTATCTGAATAATAGCCACTTCCGTGTACTATAGGTATAAAAGGCGAGGTGTTGATGAAAATGGAAAGTGTGCTAATTACGTTGAGACGGAGCAATTAGTATGGTATCACGATCATCAAGTATCATTCGTTCAGGTGCGAGGTAGTGTACCGGTCTATTGGTCGCAGCCAGGTTATAAATATAAGCCACCTCCGAGAATAGATCGAGGTAAATGCCAATAGTTATTATGCTAATTAGCTTAAAACATAGACTCTTGTCATTTATTGCTGTTTTTTCAGACGAAGCCGAAACGCAGGTGGCATTTGAAAAGCATTTCACGGAAGAATTACATTGCTATGGACCTGTATGTATTGTGAATTTAGTTGAACAGGGCGGAAAAGAAAGTGTCATTTGGGAGGCTTATAGTAATCACGTACTAAATTATAACAATCCCGATATCACATATACCACTTTTGATTTTCACGAATATTGGTAAGTGCTTTTTTCAACCTGGAAAAAAATCAGTTCATTCTGATAACAATTAAATGTAAACATGTATATTGTTATAATAGTCGAGGAATGCACTTTGAAAATGTTTCTCTACTCGTTGCTGCTTTGGCACCGGTGTTAGCGGCAATGGGCTACTGCTGGCACGACAAGCAAGGACCAATTTGCATGCAGAAAGGCGTCTTCCGTATCAACTGTATCGACTGTCTCGACCGAACGAATGTCGTGCAAACCGCTTTGGCAAAAGCAGTTATGGAAATACAGTTCTCGAAACTTGGCCTCATACCACCCGATGGTGCTCTACCTGCGAACATTCGTCAAAATTTTCAACTTCTGTGGGCCAATAATGGCGACATCATTAGCAAGCAGTATGCAGGAACCAATGCCTTAAAGGTCAACTATTTTATATTTGTTCTACAATATTTGCATTTTCAACTACAATTACCATGAATGAACAAGGTTCATTTTTATTTGAACAGGGAGACTACACGCGAACGGGAGAAAGAAAATTCACAGGACTAATGAAGGATGGAATGAATTCTGCTAACAGGTGAGTCACCTATCATTCGCAATATCATTATAGTTTGTATTTGACACATCTATGCATTTACATATTTGCCTGGCTTACAGTGAAGTTTCCTTTGAATTAAGATATGACGCGTTTTTTATTTTAGAAATCTTTTTTTGTTACCTTTGGACGCGCGATCCTGAAAGTATTGTTCTAATTTTATCGTAGATACATTCAACAACACTTTATGGACGATATACGTCAGGCGACGATAGATGTCTTACTAGGGTATCCAATAAACCTTGAGCACTTGAAAGACGATTGGTCGCACTATTTGAATGTTTTCGATAATTGCTGTTTAGAGCTCATTCCCATAAAACCACCAAACATACAGTTTCTACTTGCTACACATCCCGAATATCTTTACGTCAATATCATGTTTAAGTTGACAAGGTTCGTTTAACTGTTTGAGCTTCATAATTTTTTGTTTTGTCTTTCTGGAACTCGCTGACCGCTTCAATTGATATGTTTAAATTATGAAGTCTTTTCTGTAAATTGTAAACTAATATGAAGTTAAATTTTTATACATAACTACACTCGTTATAGTTAGTATGATGTACATGATTTTTTATTGCAGAGTTTTCTTTATGTTATTAACTTTATTATTTAATACTATCATTATATATATTATCAATTATTATTCTTGTTAATTACAATCATTATCGCTATTCGCAGGTATTACTTAAATCGTTTTAAAGATGTCTATCGACAAGCTACTATTGACATGATGTTGGGTAATGTCGTAAGTGAAGAAGTATTTCACGAAAAAACAGATGAGGAAGATAATGCCGCTACGGCAGTTCATGTAAAGTTATTGATTGAAGACTGTAAAAAACTGCTTGTGCATAATCCTGAATCTATACTCAATAGCTGGGGATTAATAGACGCTGATCCAGTGTGAGTTAACCATTTTATTTAACTAAAATTTGTTGATTTTTTATTTTTTAATTTTTTTAATACGAATTTTTAATACATAAATTTTAATAAGATTCAAATTAAATTGCAGAACGGGCGATCCTACAGAAACCGAAATGGATACTATTTTAATTTTAACTCGAGATAGTTACTATGTCGCTGACTATGACGAACAAACGGACAAAGTAACTAACTACCAAAGAATATTGCTTGAGGATGTAATCCTTATTGAATGTGGCCAACCTGAAAACACAGTTTCTTGGATCAAGAATAAAAATTATTATTGCATTAGGATTCATTATAAGGTAAATGATGATTGCGGTTACTTCCATATGTTTCGTAGTACGAATCTACGCTTTTTCAATAATATGGCGATAATCATAAAAACCGACGAAGAAACAATTGGTAAATATTATGCATTAAATAAGTGGAAATGGTGCTCGAATGTATTCATGCAATTTCTCTTATTTTTATAGAATCGTTGAAAGCTATAGCTGAAGCAATTACTGTAGCAATGGAAATTGCTTGTTTAGAGAAAGTACCAGTAGCTATGAACGTTATTCTCGATAAGCGAAAGAGTAAAATAGTGAATGCTAAAAATCATGCTGGTCTATTAGACATCACATCGTTTCCTGCACTTACAAGAAATGTTTCTGAGACGCAATTGAACGCTTTAAAAAATGTTGGTGAGTAATTTTTGATAATTAAGTGAAATCAAATATTTAATTACGTAAATAATATTACATAATAAGTTGCAATAAATCTAAAATATTTATTTATCAATTTATATTAATTTCAGGTACGAAAGCATTAAGCAACGTTACGGAAGGATTTAACAAACTGAATAAACTTAGCCATAGTATAGGAAAAAGTATTGGCAAAAAGTCAGACATAGTTGACGGTATCAAGCCAACGTTTACAGTTGGAAAAACTGAATTGTCTGGTAAAAAGAGTGGTGGTAGTTTGGATAATAGTAGTACTAGCGGTAGCGACGAAAATATTCATATGATTCCTATTCAAACAGAGAGGCCAACAGAATTGCTTGATAAAAAATCGATAGATTCGTATAGTCCATCAATTGGTATAATTATGGGCATGAAAAATAACGATGTAGATGAAGTAGGCAGAGAAGTATCTACTGATGGCAATTTATCGCGGTCAAGACTAAATGGTTCGGATTCGACGTCACAAAGAAACCTCGCAACTACACCTGAAATTACTGTTCAGGGTGTAGGAGAAAATTTTGGCAGCATTATACCTGAAAAAATGATTCCTCCATCCACTCTAAATTTGCCAAAAAATATTAGTCATTCGTCAGGAGAGGTTGATAGCCAAGGCGAAGTAAATCCATCCCAGGTTAATTTCAAACAGATGGCTTTACTTTAGTTCCTAAATTAATAATCTTTATCTACAAATATATAAGATTTGATTTAATTTTTTAGGTTAATACTCTTCAAACCGAAAATAACAGACGTTCAACTTCAGAGCAAGATCTTACACTTGTAATTAGTTCATCTCAAAGCGAATCAGCTCTAAAGTCCGTTAAATCCGGTGCTACTGATGCAACATCACCGGTTGCTACGACAGCAAAAGAAATCCTCTCGCCCTTTTCAAAATTCGCTAAAGGGATGCAAAGCCTTGGGGCTAATCTTGACCCTCGTAAATTAAAATCAGGTCAAAGCGGTATGACGAGGAATTTGTCTGACCATCACTTGGAGGAAAGACAAAAACTCCAGGAAAGATGGATAAATTGCAGATCAAGATTAATAGCTTTATAAAAAACACATTATCGTTATTTTAAAGTTATTATTATACTGAAAATAACATGGTATTATGCATTGTTCAATATATCTTACAAATGCAACGAGCTTTTAATATGAATATTTATTAGACTTATTTAGCTGTAAGATAAGTGTTAAAAAACAAGCTATGAAGATAAGAAAATCACGGCTTCTAAGTAACTTTAATATTGTTAAAATTTTTTTTAACAATACTATATAATCATTTATGAAATAAAAACTGAATTCGTTGTGAAAGTTAACTTTTAAAAAATGCAATTGTATATTCTTACACGTTATTTTTTACTTAACATTTTTTTATGTAGTGACAAGTGCTATAACTCTTATGTGTTGCAAAAATTGAACAAGATTAGCCGAAGCTCGATTTTCTAAAGTATACAATGTTTTTTTATATTTTCACATTTTATTTGTTTTCCATGACTTCCAGTATTAAGAATTTTTATTTGTAGGAATAATCATGTATTATAAATTATATTTTTGTTATAAAATTTTATTATAATATTTTTATAGCGATCGCCATTGTCTCTTTGTTTTCTGAAGATCAATTTGATTTTATAACCGTGATTTTTAAATATTATATTACATGGCTGACTGCAGTAAAAAAGTCTAACAATTTTTGAAATTTTTATCGCTCTACAAATGTGAACCATACAGTACAATGATGTCAATCAATATTTTACCGATATTTATGTTTGAGAAATTTACCAAAAAATTTGTTTGAGAACTGAAAAAACTAAATATTTAAGAATTCCTATTAGCAGGCATCATATAACTTTAATATTCTTTATGCATGTATATTGTTCATAGTAAATGCATTTATTCTGATATTTAAAAATAGAATCACTGTAAATTTGTATTTGAAAAATCTCTACTACATTGAACAAATAGCACAATTACATGAAAAATTATCTTATTGTTAACTGCACTATAGACGCTACAATTAAAATTATGCCTTACTGTAATTTTAACTAGTTTGGTCATTTAAAGTATAGTGATTTATGGACGATCCATCTTATGTAAATTGTATGTTGCTAAGTAAATCGTTTTGAATCACATTTTAGAATATTTTTTTCGAAAAATAACAAAGAAGTAATGGGCACGCAATTAAAGTTTCAAATGTTTTAATGAAAGTATCACTTTTTAATAATATTTTCTTTTCTTTTTTTATTAGTCTGACATATAAAAATTCCTAATTTAGCCATAATGTTACCGTATCGATTAATGATAGGATTATTACAAATATAGAAAATGAAATATGAAGTTATCCATCAAGATTTGAATGAAGCTTGTAGTCAATTATGTAAATAATATAAGGAAGATCAATTTATAACGTAAACAAAATATTGCAAGAGCGATGCTTTGAATGTTTGATTAATTATGTTTGTAGACAAGAAAGATAATTTTATTTTATTTTATAGATATCAAGAAATATATGTAAAACACTGATAAGATACAGAATTTGTGAAAACATTTCGTATATTTCCTGAGACTTGGGAGAATCTTTTTACTAATATAAAAGACGAAATAATTTCAACGTATCTAACAATATTCATAATAAGAATAATAGATTATCATTGTTTCTTTAGTGAACAGCGGGTAAATTTTAATTATAAAGAAATGTATAGCACTTATTAATAATGTGCAGATCGCTATAAATCTAGAATAATATTTGCAGAAGTATATATTATTATTGGTAATGAGATTCTCTGAAATTATAACCTGTGATAGAGTGCTGAGAGTAACAATTTTTATAATATCATTGGAACACGTATAACGTATTAGCTTGCAACGTGTAAAATTCATGCCTGTACAGCTTATTAAAAATAAATAAAAAGTAAACATAAATGAAGAAGTTGCCTATTTCAAGCTAACTACGATATTCAAATAGCTATATGAATTCGTATTATGCAAGTTCATTTCAACTAGAAACCTCATTATAATGAAATAAATGTGTAAAAGTATTATTCTATCAGTTATTTAAAATTAATAGAAATCACACTAACAAATTTGCTGCTAATTGTCGCTTACAGTTACAGCCAAAGTGATACAGTAGTTCGTCAAACTTCCCTGTAAAGAAGATGCGAAAAAAATTCAAAATGAGTATTGAATACATACAGTATTTTATAGCTTGTATTACAAATTTAAGAATAGCTTGATTAAGCCTTATAATCAACGTCGAGCACGTTACATTACAAATGTGTATTATAAAATTAGAAAAATTACTTGTAGCAATACACAAAATATATAACATAAATATTTGTAGTTTTAATGAGTGAATCCCTCTTTTAAAGACCAAGTCAATCTGAAATGTGTAGATACATTTCTCTTTTTTTGTAAGAATAAATAATTTTTTAGCAATTTATACTTGTTTTGCGTAAATAAATATGATCAATGATTTCTACTTTTTTCATAATATTCATGGATATTTTAAAGAAAAACAATATAAAGCTAACGAAAAGTCGAATATTAAAAAATGCCATCATAAAGTAGCCATCAAGAACGAAGCTCAAATATGATTGTAATGTAATCCTCGTTTATTAAAAAAACAGCTTATGATAATTTTCTATGAAAACGAAAGAAGTAAGAAAAGAATCTTGATATTATTAACTTTTGAAATTTGTTCATTTTCTGGATAATAAATATCATTGCACAGATACATAACTTGATTCAGGATTCATAATAAACAAGGAGCGGCCGATTTGGATGAACTTTGCCTCAAATAAAAATAAAATGCTAAGTCGACTTCATCTCAAGCTTACATAATTATCCATGCGTTGCTTTTCAAGGCAAATACATGGTTCGATATCATGAAAGAATCTTAAATTCTTTATTTAAATAAGTTATAGTCAGAACATTCTTCCACGTCCCAATATTAAAAGTACGCAAATTATTAAAAAAAAAAATTGTTCAGAAAATAACGAATAATCTCATCTTCTGTTAATTCGATCGTACGGTCAAAACTTTAAAAAAAAATTTATAACGTTTTCTAAGAATATTTCTAAAACTATTGTTTGAATATAATAATGTTAAATCAAAAATTTGTAGATATTAGAAATTCTATTAACTGACTCGTATTTTGATTCGTTTGTTACTTTTCGAGATATTGTTAAAACATTAGAAAAAATGAAATTCTCGGAATTCGTCAACTTTTTTTACCCTTTATAGCAGTTGGTGTAGATATAACTCTTAGTGAGTTAGAAAAATGCAATTATGAAAAATATTTATTATTTATTGAGATATAATGACTTGCAATACAAGTATAATAATATTATATTACTAAAAAATCATCACGACTTTTGTTATTGTAAATATGAACAAGTTATTGTTAAAAAATTTCACTTTTTAGATCGATTTACTTTTCATATTTGTGTCAATTTCGATTTTATCAAATCTACTTTCACGATAAGTTGTTGCCAATATTTTTTCACAAATTTGTAAGAAATAATTTGTTGCTGTGGCTATTTAGAGCCGAGATAATATTAGTATTTACATATGTCCAGTGGGCTTAATTAAATTTTATCGACCTATACTCGATCGAAAGTAGTCAAAACAATTTTTTTTTAAATCAAACTTATTTAATTTATTATTAATACTGTTTAAGTAGCTACTAAGGCGTAAGCTACTATGGCCCTACTCGGGCTTCGCCTGTTAGTATTCGACAATTTTTCAAGCATACTTTAAATGGTTCGCAGTCAATAAAATTTCTATATTTATATCGCAACTTCTGGACTATGTAAAAAAATTATTTTGTACTTTATTTGGAGTACGTTATTAAGAACAATTCTAATAGTAGTTATTTTACGCTAAAAAGCATAACAGAGTCGTGAGATTCAATTTTTTATTCAGGTACTTAAATAAAACTGATGTACCAAACGAGTGAATTGAAATAATAGACGAGTTCCTGAAAATCCTATTTTTAATGGTTTTTTTAACAACATTCTGAATGTCGTAATAAAACAATCAAACTACTTTATCAAATCAATCAATAGAACTTTTTAATACCTACAAGTTTTACATTTAATATTTTCAGATCAGAACAATAGTTTTGAAAATATTGTTAAATAACCTATATTTGCAACGATGTATTTTTTTTCGCAGTGTTTACTGTGCGATCAAGTTAACAAAAGATAAACTTTATATTATTCTTTTATTTACTATGTGACCGTATTTTTATAGGTAATAATTTGTGCGTGCACTTCGTAAGAATGTCTGGACTACTAATTGGTTAATCACAAGTTAAAAGATTATGTTAAGTTCAAGAAACTCTTCTATGTATCATTGAATGTATTTCTTGCACATAGAGCGAGCCTTTTTTATTAACTTGCATGAAATGCAGTACTTACGTTACCACGATACGTTATCACGATTTTTTTTTCACATATCATAACATTTTAGTGTTGTCTTCATGTTGTCTTGTTTCAATATATTCTTGCGATGATGAAGATGATTGCAATGTTTCCTCGTTAATTTTACTTTGAAACTTTTCAATTTTTACCTTAATGTAAACTCTTACAACTTTCAATGGAACATTCTTTACATATAAATTGGGATGTGCTTTAATTTACATGCTCACGATATCTATTAAATGTAAATGTACTTTAAGATTTTTCAGGTATCTTTTAGATTTTTCAACATTTGTCAACGTGACATTTTATCAGTGGGATCTCATTATTGAATTATTTTGATTTATATAGTCTACCAGGTTTTTACAAATTATCGGAAATGAACTGGAATTAATAATTGAACAATCTACTTTCAAAAGACTTACATATATTTATTTTCTAATGAAAACCATATATATAACGTGTACCTATTCACAGGTAAGCAAACAAATAATAAATACTCCAGTCCGAATTTCGAACTGATATGTATGACCTGACCAAAAAACAGACTGCGTTTGCTGTCGTAGGAATTGTGCATTCTCTACATATTTATTCTCGCTGTATGAAATTTAACTTAAATTTAAATACAGTTTGTAAACTGCCATTGATAATATTTAATCATTCGATCTATATTTCTCCTTGAAAAATATATTTAAACAACATTCAATATTGTAATGATTGTATAGTGATAGATATTTTATAAGAAAAGTAGAAAATTATTTAATTTTATAAAATATATGAACATTTTGACAACAAACACATAAATTTAAAAGATTATACTAACCTTAAATTAACGAACCATATTAAATCATAAATATGTGCATTTTTTATATAAAAAGGAGTCACATATTTATAATTCGTGTGATCAGGTGATTTTCGTATGTGAAGCAGTAAAATTATTCGAGATTCCCCAACTGCTAAAGAACTTTGCGAATAGTAGCGATCGATAGCCAATTTTTTCTTATAAAAAATAATATACGTGGAATTAACGTGATTCGTTAGAATTGTCCAATTTCTTACTTTCAAATAAACTCTACCTTGCTTCCGTATGGCCTACAATACTTTATATATTTCTTTGTTTGAAAAGTTTTTCAATGCTGGTAGAATAGTCGCTCGTGTTATATATATAATTGATTCATTGATCCAAAAGAATATCTGTATAATGTATAGTACCATAAACCATTACGTTTAACTTTATCAAATCTTCCATTACTGTAATAGTTTTCTGAGACAAGTAATAAGTGCAATATTCTTTCAAAGTAAATATCATACTTTATTATTATAATAATGTATTATAAATATATTATAAATATATTATTATTATTATATAATATATATTATATATTATATTATAATGTATAATAATATATATTTTTAATAAACGACGGAATAAACTGTTTTCCAAATTCTATAATTGACATTTCATTTATTATGCGCGAGATTCAACTTGTAAATACGTGACAGACTGTTATTTACAGACTGTTGTTTACAATACGTACTTTATTTATTACTGTTTGTTACCGTTGCCTTTTCAATAGGAAAAAATAAGATTTATTGAAAATGGATACCAAATCATGATATTACTAAAAATTTTTCAAGCAATACTCGAGGTAGTATTTAAAAATAACATTTACTTTGAAAAAAAAAAAAATAATAATAATATATTATATAGCTACTAAAATTGCCGGAAATAATATCACTATAATTTAATATTAATACCTTTAACGTATAAAATTCCTAGCAATCAATCTCTTCTCCCTTATATTTTTGTGTATACTTTTAATATACTTGGTATAACAAATATTGAAGTCGATGGCTAAACCAACAGTACTTCTTTTATATAGTTCATTATCCAGTTCGAATGTAATTATATTATGAAAAGGAGAATTATTGTTCTGTTTACACAACAAATATATCTTTAAGTTCTCTTGTAATATTTTGAAAGCTTCGTTCGTCTAGCATTGTTAAACTTAATTTTTCTATTTTTATCTAAACGAAAGATTGCATGCGTTCATTTTCATAAAAGTTCTTTTTCTCTGATTCCTATGAATTGTGATCGAGAATTATCATGTTAACAAACAATACGTTGTTCCATCAATCTAACTGGATAATTACCATAATTTTTCATATTACGTAAGAAAACTTATAAGTATATAAATCAATCCAATAATAAAATTATCATCGACAGTTTTATTTGCTGCGGAAAAGCCGATTACTTAAAAATAGGTAAGTAAAATTGTAACGTGAAATTATCTTTTGGCATTCCATAAAGTACGACTTTTCTACGTGATGGGTTAAAAACGTATACTCAAAATAGAATTTTGCACGCGTCGTATCAAAAAATATTGTACCATACATGTTCAGGAAAGAGATTCTCATTTCTTTTGAGTTTCTACCGTTGCTTCGTTCGAGCGTAATTGCCACACGAAACCAGAATCTATTTTCCTGCACTTGTATCGTAAATGTACTAATTTTGATCAAGCATAAGAATAATACAAAAATTGAATTTTATATTTAAATACAAATACTATTTTTCGTCATGTGATTTTAATTATAACCCTAGGAAAAGCACAAGTTTTGCGAACATAAAATAAGCGTTCAAAAATAATATATGTTTCAAATTTTCCCGCGCTTGGTTAGGTTAGCACTTGAATTGTAAGAAACGATTGGTCGATACGAACAAGCCAATCTTTTGCAAGAGTACTAACCGAACAAACCTTGTGTAGTACAAACACGAGTGTAGCATTCGTCTCCCGGCTCTAGCGTAGCACGAGACTACACCAGTTTAAACGCGGCAGTAGTGGCGGCGACTGAACGAGCGAACCTCGTTGTGCACAATATATAGTCAGTCCGAAAAACTGGC